CCGTCGTGGGCTGCGCCGCACACCCTCAACGCCCGCCGCCGCCCTCGGGGTCCACTCTCCCGACGGCGCCACAGAGATAGATAGATAGATAGATAGATAGATAGATAGATAGATAGATAGATAGATAGATAGATAGATAGAGAGAGAGAGAACGAGGAGGAGAGAGAGACGCCTGCTGTCTCCAATGTCCTCGGCACCGCCCGCCACGCTCTCCCTGGGGATGACTTGTCGCCCGCCGCCTGCCTGAGCCGAGAAGGAGAGAGAGAGAGAGACACACACACACACAGAGGGACGACGATGACGACGTAGCCCGCCTCCTCCAACGCCCTTCTCGGTGCCATCCCCGCGCTCTATCGCTAGCCCCCACATGTCGATCACCCATCCACTCCCCGCGTGCCCCCGCCGCCGCCGCCCCCCACTGTCCGTCCACGCGCGCCCAAGAGAGAGAGGGGAAGAGGAGAAGAGAGGTAATGACTGGTGGGCCCTATATTTTCTTTTATTTATTTTTGCTAGTTCGATTTCCACGTTGGCGCCATGTGTATGCCACGTAGGATAAAACCGCTCAGGATTGAGTTAGGTGGGTAATTCGTCCGGTATCAATAGTTTGATATTTAATATGTCTGGTTTTGTGGTTCAAGGGGTAATTCGTATTGTCGCAATAGTTCAGGGGTCAATTCGTACTTTTTCCTAAAAATGTTTGCTCATAAGCTTACTTCAAACTTGTTCAGTTTGCTACCATTTTTAAGTTTTAGTATTTAAAAATTTTGGTAAGGTAACAATCTAATCTAATTAAAGATGTCTCAAATACCATTCCATTTCATACGATGCCAAAATTTTATAATTTTCTATAGTCTTCTTCACATAGCTGTACACAAAAAAATTGTACCTTACCAAAACAAACAACACCCACATACTTCTACTTAACTATTGTTTGGTATTTGCTAAATTTAGATATTGCCAAAAGTTTGATAGATTTTTTGTAGCATCAAACTAAATGGGCGCTTTATTTTTCCATTACTGATAATTGAACAATCAGATACTGGCTGCACTCTACACATCGTGCTCAACGCAAGTACACCGGACATATAGTTAATGAGATTAATGTTGTGCTGTTTTCTCACAAAAAAAGATTAATGTTGTGCATGGTGCAAATTATGATGCACGATGGAATGGAAACTTGAAAAGGGTATATGATCGAAATGGATAGGTATATGAAACTGCATTTGGCAACACGTACAACATTGCAATTAACAATGATCATGCCGACCTCTTCCATTAATAAGCCAATTAATTAAAGAGTGCCACTCCTACTAGTCAATTGTGTAACCAACTTCATAAAGATATCTCCATGCATGGTCCAGCCTCTGAATTGCTGTTTAACTAGATCAACTTGCTGAATTTTTTTGAGCCATCAGATTTCTGACCCTCTCTCTGCAGTTGTACATGTAAAGCACTGCTACCAGGAGCGCGTCAATGGGCAATTATACGTACGTTAATGCTGATTATATTCTTTCTCTTCTACAGTTAACCAATACTCCATTTATTTCATATTATAAGTCGATTTTACTTTTCTTTAATCAAACTTCTTTAAATTTAACAAAATTTATAGAAAATACAGTACAATTTCCAACATAGGACAAACATATTATCAAATTCAATAAAACTAATTTGATCTGTTTTAGATGTTACATTTTTTTACAAATTTTATTAAACCTGAAAAAAATTAGACTAGAATAAAAATTAAAGCAACCTATAATATTAAACGAAACAAATACAGCACAATACATGATGTGAATGGGATCAAAGTGATTGTGTTTTGACTTTTGGACATGTTGTTGGCCTGTTCGTTTCTTCTGAATGGAGAAGATTATCCAGCGCATACGAAAAGAGAAAATTCATTAGCATATAGTTAACTAAATATTAACTATTATAAACCTAAAAGGTGATTTATTTGATTTTTTAACAACTTTCATATAATCTATCTATCTATCTATCTATTATATACTAAAAGTCCATTAAACTTCCTATAAACGCTCCCAAACCGCCAAGTGGCACCCTATGAACACTCTCAAGTCGCCAAGTGGCACCATAATAAATAAGAGAAATATGATTATCTATTTTTACTTAAATTAGTGGACCCATTATTTTGGATGGTTAGATTTACTTAGATCTATTTTATAAGGAAAAAAGAATACGGAACCAACGTACAAACGTACGTAATAGTCGAACGTATGTACGTATGTACTGTACATACTTCCCTTCTGTCCTTCCATATTTTCATTCATGTGTTATTTTCTATTTCATGAGAAAATAAAAACAAAAATACTTTTACATGAAAAAAACACAAATAGACCAACTACTAGGTACTATTAAATTGCTACGTGGTACTATTAAATTAGAGAAAGTACTACTAAATCGCTACGTGGTACTATTAAATAAGAGAAAGTGCTAGAAAATCTTAAAAAATACAAAGCAACAGACCATCGATTTCTACTTAAATTGATGGATTCTTATTGTTAGATTTTTTAATAAAAATATCCCAAACCTCTCTACCTCCCTTCCCACCCCCGTGCAGTGTTAAAATCCATTAAACATTTTATAAACACCTCTAAGCTACTATATCACTTAAAGACAATCTTAGAAATTTCAAAAAAAAAGACAATTATATACTAAAAGTTCATGAAACATTCTACAAATACTCTTAATTCGCCAAGTGGTACCTTACAAACGCTCCTAGGTCGCCAAGTGACACTCTAATCCAACCATCGATTTTTATTTAAATCGGTGGATCCATTATTATTGTATTAGAAGGTTAGTTTTTTTTAGAAGAAAAGCACACATTCTGAACCTCCCGTTACGTACGTACCAACGAGCTATGTTCATGAGAAATTATAATCAAAATTATTTTTACATCTCTCTATGAGTCTAAATATCCTACGAATGCTTCTAAACTGCTCCGTGGTGCTATTAAATTAAATAAAATACTAGAAAATCTTAAAAAAGAACAAAACATTTGGCTATCGATTTGTTAGTTTTTTAATAAGAAAAAACCCAAACATCTCTCCCTCCCTCCCATCCCTGTGCGGTGTTAAAATCCATTAAATATCTTATAAATGCCTCTAAGCTGCTATATAACATTCTTAAATTAGAGAAAAATCTTAGAAATTTTGGAAAAAAAACACCCAACCATTAGATAATACATAAATCTATGGACACATTATTTTCAATGGATTAATTGGCACATTATTTTAGGTCATTACATATATTTTTCTTTTAAAAAAAGAACACCCTAAACTTTCCTCCCTCCCTCCTTTGCGGCGTACGGTGTTAAAAGTTCATTACACATCTTATAAATGATCTTAAGATGTTATATCATTCTCTTAAATCAAAGAAAATCCTAATAAAATTCTGACAGAAAACAAAACATCCGACCATCGGTTTCGACAAAAAAACATCTGACACATTATTTTAGTCTGTTAGATTAATCATTTAGAAAAACACCCCAAACTTCCCTCACTCTCTGCCCATGTACAGCGTGCGCCATTCTTTTTTCTCTGTTTTTATCTAAAATTAAAATTATCTATATGGGAACAAAACACAAATGGATCATGTTAGGCATCTAACGACTTTCTGCCAACTTAATTAATTTCTCTTGACATGCCTATACAAATTAACATTGATACTTTTAAAATGATGTTTTTAGGACAAAAATAAATATTTTTAAGAAAGATGATCATATCGTCCAAATTACACATATGATCTACGAAGTCACTAATCATAGCAGGTATTCATCTAGCAATATTGACAATAGGGTGAAAATAAAGGTGTGGTTGGGTGAACAGCATACCGGTAAGTATGTGGGTTGTACCTAAGGATTTTAACAGTGGAACAACCTTGCAGTGGCCTTAGCAATAAATCAAGTCAGTTCCATATAGGAATTAATGGCCATGTCCTTTATTATTATTTTTTTATTAAACTTGCTACAATACATTGTAAAGTCTTGACGTAGAAAAATCTAGAAACGTATTTGTTATAAGACAATACACTTTAGTGATGATTCGCTAAATACATTATGACCATTACTTCAATATCTCAGGAGAGAAAATTTAGAATGTATGCCTTTACCCCATACTAGGTTATGTGTTCTTATATTTTCATCCCAAATTGCAAAGATCAAATCATTTGATGATTCATATAATGAAACTATCCAAAAGAAAAACAAATGGACATGAAATAAATTGAAAATTGGATACATGTTCCTGGATTTAAAACCAATACTTGATAGAAAAATTCAAACATTTTACAAGGGACGGTTAGAATGAAAAATATATATAATTTTAAAATACAATCAAACAAAAAAAATGATATTATTGGATTTCTATTGAGGTTGTAAGATATCCTTTTGGCGAGTTAAAATACCCTAAATTTTATCATAGGAGCCACCTCCATTGTTTCGACACAGTATTTTCTCATCAATTCAAAACCACATGATCTCAAGTAATTTTATTTTAGAATTTATATGTTGCAAGGGTAATTATAAAAATATAACCAGCTTTTAAAGCACACAAAATAAGTTTAATTTTAGTTTATAACAAAATACAAGATATTTTAATAAAAATCCACCCGCACATAAATATTCATAATAAAATTTCACTCACATTATATAAGAAGGTGCCCGCGCATGTGTGCGGGCTACCTTTCTAATTGTTTTAAAAAATACACTATTTAACAATTTAAAAACGTGCTAATGAAAAATGATAAATCAGAAACTAAAAGCAGTTTTTTTTTCAACTTCTCCGGTTTCTCGCCAACTGCCTGTGAGAGCAACTCCCCAAACATGCTTACGGACGAATGACGACATGTACTTCATATACGAGTGATGATTACGGATCAGGAATGCCGACATGCAGTCCCATTTCCCATATCCTTTTTTTAATCTTTTATCCAGAAGCTAACATGTACTCCACACGCACAAACACAAGCGCGCATGCTCCATCTCATCACAAATCAATGAAATCAATCTCTCTTTTCAGATTGCCAACCTTTTTATGATTACAACTATATCAAATCAATATCACACTGAGATTATAAAGTCGTTCGAGACCACACACACAACACGCGTAGCTACTAGAGCTAGCTGATCATGAGATATACTACAATTCCAAATTTTCCAACGGCAAAGACCACTCACTGCTCTTAATTAGAGACTTTTAGTCGTTTGTGTGTTACACGCTAATTTTAAGCTGTGGCCATCAGAAATTCAGAATACGAGCAGGAGAGGCGCGGCGACGGCGACGGCGGAGGAGAGGAGGAAGAGGAGGAGCGCCACCGCGCGTGCGCCGCCGCCACCAACTCCGTCCACTCCCAACCACCGCAACACGGCCGCACCGCTCTTCTGCGCGCCCGCGGCCGGTGCGCTTGACCCACCTGAGGAACCACAAGACCAAATTAATCATCTTGAATTAGAAGGATTGGATAGTTAATTAAGGCATTGTTTAGTTCCAAACTATTTCTTCAAATTTCTAACTTTTCCGTCGCATCAAAATTTTCCTACACACATAAACTTTTAACCTTTTCATCACATCGTTCCAATTTTAACCAAACTTTCAATTTTAGCGTGAGCTAAACACACCCTAACTCCGCCGTCCAAAGAAAGCCGCAGTAGCCGTAGAGAAATGAATATGATAATAATAAATTTCTTCCGTTTGAACAGGATGTGATGCAATATAGTATGGCGACAACGAATCTGAACAGAAAACTATGCTAGGCTGTTAGTACTATGTAGTGTCCCATATGATTCTAAGTTGCTATATTATGGGACGGAGGTACACTACAAGGAAACAGACCATTAGTTACCAAGGTGGTTGGTGACAATAAGCTACAAGCTGGTTGCTATTGAGTTTTCGCTACCAATGAACTTTGGTCGCATCTTGGTGGCTACAACCCGGTTGCTAAATGTATTTTGTAACCAACGTGTGATCTCCTCGGTTGCTAAAGATAATATCATTACTTACCATAGTTGGTAACAATATGTAAAAGCAATAGTCACCAAGAAAATATTGGTAACTATATATTTCTTAGAACCAAGTGGTACTTGGTAACTAAAAATATCTAATAACCAAGGTTGATCGGTGACTATTTATAATTTGCCACCAAGTAATTGGCAACTAAAAGTATGTTGTGTCCAACCCTCCTTAGTAAGTACATACATCCTGCCCCCTAGAACATTAATTACCTTGGTGACTAAAGGTTTGTTCACCCACTGCATAATTCAGACGTAGTAATAATTTATAGGTTAAACTTCCTGTGTAGTGGTATTAGTGGCTCAGGATTTGTAGAAAAAAATGAAAATATTTAAAAAGAAAACTACAATGTAAACCAAAATCAACTTTGAGATTTAAGTTTTTAATTTTTTATTTTTATTGTGACTGATAAACTAACAAGCTAGGATCCTTGCATAACATAAAAATTTGCACAATTTTAGATGAAGTTGCTAATTTCCTTAAAAAAAATCCACTACAAAGAAGGCCTAAAAAGGGCTGGTCTTTGCAAGATGCAAAACACCACGATCATCTCCGTCACGGGTTGCTAAACAGAATGATCAAAAAGGCATGGCACTACTGCAATAGTGCTGGTCGTGGCACACTGATTTTTCATGCATGTCGCCTCTCAAGCTAAATGACGCTGACGGATGAGCCACTGTTAGGCCACTATTATTGCAACAGTACGTTCCTTTCAGCTTCCATCAAATTAATTTGGCATCTTGTTCAGAGCAAGGATAATAATATAGCCAACTTTCTACTATTAGTTTATCTTAAAGCCAACATATATAATAGATTAACTATAAGATTGGCTACGATTTTCTTCTCCTCTCTATATCTCTCACTTATACATTTAATGTATTTATCTTAGAGCTTGTGATAAGCTAGCTCTTGTATGAGAGCCAACATCTTTAATTTTTCACTACCTCTCTCCTCCACCTAATCTTATAGTAGACTTATCGCTCACTATTATACTTGCTCTTAATCGACATGTTCACATCAACAGCTTGGGGAGTTAAATCTCCAAAAGATATTTGGTTGGCTGCACTGCCACCTACTTATGATAGTCAATGAATTTTCTACAGATGTCGCAGTGAGTCTCTGTCACTTGCTGCTACAGTACTACCCTTCTCCTTCTATTTTGGAATTAGTGCTTCTACCGCTGATTGACAAGTTACAACATCAGGTTTCATGGCCATATATACTTCAGAAAAGAAAATCTTGATATTTAATTTTGGATCCAAATATCAGTTATTAATTGTAAAATAAATCAGTTAGTATAGGATTAGGAGAGAAAAAAATATGGGAACTGACCAGGGGATGCACTGGGGCTGCCCTGCATGGCAGCCTGCTGCTTGGCGAACTGTTCGAAGATCTGCGCGTCCTTGGAGTTTGGTGGCAAGTTCAACAGCCCTGCAGATTGCCAATTTACCATCCACAATTACATTCAATTTGCAAAAAAGAAACACCTGTAATACCAACTAATCCAGTGATAAAGCACTCTGGGCAATCAACAAGGAACATGTAAAAATGTTTAATTAACTAGTACTACAAGTCTACAACATACATGAAATCTTCAGTTAACCAGAAACTTAAAAAAAAATGCCGATCTCGAAAATAACTTGCAGTCTACATACTTCAAGCTTTCCGATTAGTATTGTATATCTGTTCCCTCGAGGATAAATAAACTTTCCCCTTTGTATATGTTACTGTTCATCACTATCTGGTTGGTTTTTTTAATCATAAACGAATAATTGAGTAGCAAAGATAGGAACAAATTATTCACGATTACTTATAACGGATTGTCTACATGATTGTAAGGATAAACTGATTTTTTTTTAAAACAAACTTAATAAATAGCTTATAACAACTGTTGTAACATAGTAAAAGATTTTTTTAATAAAACATATTTCTTTTATACCTGAAGCAAACTATAAAAATCTAAAAAAAAGTAGCTATAAATAATGGGCAGCGAGTGCTACCACCACTATTCTAATAATCCGATGAAATAGCTAAAAATAACAGGCGGCGATAACCAAACCGTACGGTGACCTTTCTTAGATTTTGAAACCACAGTATATCTCGTGGTAACAGTCAAACCGTGGGGTGGTGGTAATCCAACCCAAAACGATTCAGTGAACCCGGTGCTACCAGTCTACCACCATTGTCACTAGGAACCAAGCAAAGAGTCGAGCTAGCTCGGTCCCAGTCAGACTCTTCAGCTAGCTGCCTAATAGTAGATAGCTAAGTGGCCAAACACCTCGATTAAAATGTACTCATTGACACTATCTCGATCTCAATCATGATGGATGCCGTCACGGACCGATCCACCGACCGCCGCGCATGAGCAAAGGCTGCTAATTTGGCTGCTCATGAAAAATACGAAATGGTTTGTGCTGCGTTGCTATCGCCATGATAGAAGACAACAAATTAAGTGCGATGAATATATTGCGTGCCTGAGCCCTGAAGACGCCGTTTTGCTTATAATTACGACAGTTTATTCAGTGCTTTGAGATATTCATATAATACAGTTAAAAAACTAAGATTGTGAGAGATTAATACGAGAGAACTAAGGAACACATATACTTAATAATTCCATGCGTTTGATCATCAGAAACATGGTTCAGAAAGAAGGAACTATACAATCACACACTCTCTCTCTCTTCAGTCGTAAATATTTGATGTTCAGAACGAGAGATAAGATCGAAATTTTGAAAATTCTGACCACAGAAAGAAAAAAAAAACAAGGCACAACCATAAACGACCAGAATTGAGAAACATAATTTGTTTTTGTTTTTTTCAGAATTGAGAACACGAAGAGATGGGTAAAGAGAAGTTGAAGAAGATGTGCGTACTTGGGCAGTCGGAGATGTTGGCGGGGGCGTTGCAGAGCTGGGGGAGGGAGAGCGCCTTGGTGACGTTGATCTTGAGGCCGAGGTTTGGGTCGTCGCGGTCCTTGATGAGCACGCACAGGCACTTGCGGCTCGCCGCCAGCACCGCCTTCAGCCCCGAGCAGCAGTCCGGCGTCGGCGCCGCCGCGCCCCCCGACGCGCCGTCCTGCACGAACGTCAGGCACGTCGACAGCGCCATCAGCTTGTCCGCGCACTCCGCCCTGTCCGCCGCGAAATCCCCCCTCACCGCCGACATCGCCATCGCCATCGCCGCCGCCGCCACCACGAGAACCACCGCTCCCCGATGACGATGATGCTCCATGGTGATGGCGGCGAGGGCGAGAGAGAGAGGGGGAGAGAGCGAGCTCGCTGGAGTTGGAGGGGGGAAATATATAGAGGCATGTTGGGGTGTAGGTGTGGTGGTGGGTTGCGTTGCGGCTGTGGATGGATGGCTGGGCTGCGCGGCGCGGCAAGTGGGAAAGGCCCCGGTTGTGGGTTGGGCGCGTGGTTTTCGGCGTGTCCCGCGCGGCCGCACGCGCGCTGCTTTTCTGCCGGACCGGAACGGGGAACGGGGAATGGTGATGTTCTACTCCCTCCGACCCATGAATTTTGAAGGGATACGACATTTTTTATAACTATGATTCTGAACTCTACAACTATGAATTTGGACAGTAAATTTGTCCAGATTCATAGTCCTAACAAGTATCATATTCCTCCAAAATCTCTTATATTAGCAATTTCTAGGATCCCAAGAAGAAATTAGTGGAGAGTAAAAATGACCAAAATACTCCTCATTATTGAAAAAAGTAGTAACAGTGATAGGTAGGTAAAGTGTATTTAAGAAATAAAACATCTCGTTTTATGTGCTGAGAGTAGGTTTTTGTGGGACAAAATTTAAACTCTGGAAGTTGAGTTTTTTTGGACTTAGGGAGTACAGTTTTAGCTTAGATTTTTAGTAACATGCTTTTCGAATTAATAAACAATGTGTTTTCAAGTTTATAATATTTAAAACTCAATTAACCATGCTCTAATGATATTTATTTTCATAATTTTATCTTCATCTTTATTAAAAAAACGCTATCCAACTATCAACAAATTTTAAAATAAAACATATACTTACAAGTTTTTTCTTAAAATAAAAGTTATACCTACGTCGCCCCCCTACAACAGGCAACACCCGTTTTACCTATTAACATGGCGATAAAATGGTGTTGTTGCGAGCCGCCTAATGAACAAGAGCGTACATCTGTCAAGTCTCGCAAACCTGGCTAGCTACACCCGCACTATCACTCGATGCATAAGAGCAGGTATAATAATAGACGGTAGAAGATCACGTATGATTTTTTGCTGAGCTGGAGGAGAGAAGGGAAGAGAGAGAGAACGGGCGGGCGACTAATTAGCCGCCTGGCTACACGCACGGCCCGAGGTCGTGGGGTCCGTGGCGATGGCAGGAAAGTGCTACCGTCATCGTGCGCGTACATCCCGCTGCCCTCACCCGCGGCCACCACTGTCCTCTTCCTTCACGGTGGCCACCGTTGCCGGCATCCCTCCCTCCGTTCTAGCCCACATTTGTCGCAGCTGCCGTCCTCGTCCTCCACGGCCGCCTCCGTCGCCCGCGTCCATCTCGCCATTGTCGCCCACCTCCGCCGTGGCCGTCGACCGCGTCCTACGCGGCCACTGCCGTCGCTCGTATCCCTCTCACCATCCTCGCATGCATCCGCCGTGAACGCCATCCTCGCCCTCCACGGCCGCCGCCGTTGCTCGCGTCCATCGCGCCGTCCTCGCTCGCGTCTGCCGCGGCTGCCATCCTCGTCCTACACAGCCGCCGCCGTCACCCATGTCCATCATGCCGTCCTCGCCCGCATCCGCCATGGCTACCATCCTCGTCCTCCACGACCACCGTCATCGCCCGCGTCCATCTCGACGTCCTCACCCGCATCCACAGTGAACGCCGTCCTTGTCCTCCGCGGCTGCTGCCGTCGCCCGCGTCCATCTCATCGTCCTCGCCCTCCGTCGCCCTTGTCCATTGCAGCCACCGCCTTCGCTCGCGTCCTCCGGGGACGCCGTCGCCTGTGTCTGCCGCAACCGCCGCCATCTCCCTCGCCCTTACCCGTGTCCGTGTGTAGGGACACTGCCTCATCTTCACCAGCAAGAAGTGAGAAGAAAGAAAACTCAGAAATGGAAGGATGGAACGAGAATAGAGGGGGAAGATGGTGGGGTCATAAAAATAATAAAATATTTATGTTACAGTGAGCATAGGATATCTCTATGGTATATCTTAGCTATAATGTTTGTTGCAGATAATATATCCACCTATTACAGCTGGTAATAGGTTTTGTTATTGATCTTGCTATAAGTGATATAAGTTGTTTTGACCTGGTCAATTAATGGACAATAGGTGTACAAAGGTATATTCTGTAATTATTTTTAAAACGGTATATTCATATAAAATTGTAAAATACACAGTTTGAAAAAAAAAATTATAAGTATTGTTTTACATTTAAAAGTTACCATCCATTTATTTGACATGATTTTTAAAAAATATATGATTTTAAAAAAAAAATCATAGGGAACGATTGATAATCAAGACAAGTAATCCTGAAAACGTTCATAAGCGTGGTAAGGACTAAGGATGGCAATAGAGTGGACTAGTCCAGTACTGAAGGCAGTGAAGGGACTGTCAAGAAGAGGTCTTAGTTAATTAACCATGACTGCTTGATAGTATCTTGTTGCCACTGTAAAATAATGGTACGGTTGATTAGGATGCGTCAACTCAATACTGGGTGAGGATTGTGACGGTGAATGTGTATGTATGTCTTCATCTTTATATGTTCGGAGAAAACTGGCTCAAATACGGGTAGTGAACGTGAGGCCAATTTGGAGTGACTTGCAACAAGTGGTTTAAGGGCCCCTTTGAATCACAGAAATGAAAAAACGGAGGAATAGGAAAAACATAGGATTCTGACAGAAATGTAAGTATAAAACAGAGGATTGTAAAACACAGGGATAACATAGGAATGACCGTTTGATTGGTCCACAGGAAAAACATAGGAATTTGAGGAGAAATAAAAACTCAAAGGATTTTTTTTCCATAAGGTTCTACCTCTTGTTAAAATTCCTCCAAAACTTATATGGGAAGAGGCATTCCATAGGAATTTTATAGGATTCCATAGGGTTCATTCCTTTAATTCAAAGGGCTTTATAGGAAAAATTCCTATAGAAATGAAATCCTCTAAAATTTCTATAAATTTCTTTTGAATAAAGGGCTCTTAGAGTTTCCTGTGGAGCAATCAACGTTGACAAGACAAGAATTTAGTCTCTACTGTGTGTACTTTCGTAAGATGGTTATAGCTAACAACGTGATGTACACACTAAGTCCATCAAGGCACAAATCCAAGATTTGACAAGCGTGTCCATCAATCTTAGGAACCTACTAGTAACAATTAATGGGATACATTGATTCAGATAGAGATTTTGATCAGTCGAAAAATCTAATCATTGTAATAATTGAATGCTAATCTATAAATCATATTGAATAATCCCAGCTGCCTTAGAATCCTACAAATAATCGTTGCTAATTCAAATTTATCTTGTAATTTTCTCTAGTATTTAAAAGTGGGAGTCATCCTCCTCGACCACGTAAAAACATCTTTCCTCTCATGAAAACCTTCCAACCTAAAAAACTTATTTCTAAAAAAAAAATTGTAAAAAAAAAACAGCCTACCCGGCCCAAATCCTTCCACTAAACTTAAATAAAGAAAAAAAAAACTTTTGCAATGTACGAGTATATAACTAGTCATTTTAAGAGAGTAGCAGGAATGCAACATCCATATCCTAAGAAACCTGATGGGCTCAATACACAAGGATATACCCCTGTAAGGCCTTGTTTACATAAAAAAATTTTGGCCAAAAACGCCACATTAAATATTTGGACACATGCATGAGATATTAAATATGGGAAAAAAAACCATTTACACAGTTTGCACGTAAATTGCGAGACAAATTTTTTGAGCCTAATTACGCCATGATTTAACAATATGATGCTACATTAAATATTTGCTAATGACGGATTAATTCGGCTTAATAAATTCTTCTCGCAGTTTATAGGCGGAATCTACGTTTAGTACTTCAAATATGTATTCGTATACTTCAAAAACTTTACACCCAAAAAACTAAACACACCCTAAATATGAAAATTAAGGCAAAACGACGATCACAACTGCCTCAACCGTCTGTAAACTGTAGTAGTACTAATCAATAAGGTGGCTCATCTGTTGGCTAGGGCGATATATGGGCAAATCTGTCTTTTATGAAAGAATGATAAAACTTTTGCATGTCTCTAAACACCAACTACCAAAAGTTCAATGCAAAAACTTTTACCATTACACGTGGATCTAAACATGCCCATAATGTGTTGCTTTTCGACCTTTCAATATCGTGTTCCTGGTTGTATCCAAGATATTGTAAATGCTAATTTTTTGTGCAATGAATGAACTAGCCTTGATTAAGAAAAAAAATTTGCCCCAACCGTCCTGATGGGAATCGAGCTAATTATGGCCTTCAATTATTTGAACGGAAAAATGTCGCTATTTGTAAAGTAAATTCGTTTGATGGCACCTAAATGCATGTAACTGTCTTAATATCACTAACAAATGTTATTTGGTCCAATCCAAGGGCATCTGTCTCCCTCCTAGTGGTTGCGACTTGCAAATTCGATCGATCTCCAATCAAATCCGTCGCCCACAAACCGATTAATTGAGCCATAATTTCGTGACCGATCTTGGCACGCAGTGATGCAAACCCTATTTGATTGGAAATCGGATGAGTTAGTATAGTTTGGTGATTTGACAAATTAGAAAACTCTGAAACACTCTATTACAGAAGTAATAAGAACAGCAATCGTCGGCAAGGTCCTCTGATTAACTTGGTGATAATAAATATATTATTGGAAGAGCGAAATGAGCATATTAAGTTCCTTGTGGTAGAACGAGTCCACTCGGGTTTAAATTTTAGATTTGACATGGGTGCTCACATTTACGTCCACTCGGGTTTCAATCTTAGATTTAACATGGGTGCTCACATTTACGACTAATTATTCTTTCAGTGGTAGACGATGTACCCGTCGACAACGAGACGCATTCTTTCCGTGATAGGTGAGGGTAGGGTGTGTGTGTGTTTATAAGGGTGAGCGCGCACGTGTTATGAGCGTTTTCTTTTCTATCGTGTTTCTAAAAAAAATTAGTGGAAGGGATGACAGATTAGAGAGAGGAGGGTAATTTGGTCTAATTTTTTTAATGAACCTCACACGCTCGCGTACACTGACGAATGCAGCGAAGACAATGTGACGAGCACCGTGCCGACGAACTATTCATCGTCCGGCAAAACAAAAGCAAAGCAAGAAACAGAGGATTTGGCGCTGTCATACCGTCGTAGCATTCGATTCCTACGACGTGAGACACGAACTCAGCACGATGGCTCTTGACATGAACAGAACACATATCGGAGCCTACAAGCTACTAGTAGCAGCTAACAAACTATGCAAAATATATATACTCAGCTAGAAACCAGGAGATATATATAACTTGACGCCGCGACAGGATTACATTACACCAACATGAGTTGCCTTGTATGAAGTCAAATCTATGAACTCATTTGTCACTGACAATAATCACACAAGCACCTGGCGTAGAACATTCGTCGAGCACCTGGCGTGCACCCGCGTCTGCTCGGCATCACCTCCGCCTCAATGCCTAATTTTCCTCCTCCACCGTCCACCCTCTACTGGGTAATCCCTTCTCCTAGAGAACTACTTCCATGGTTCCATCTCCATATATTGTACGGTAGCTAAATCTCAGATCAATAATGCAAAGTAGTTGCGAACTCCATCTCGGACTATGGAAAAAGGGTTTTAAGCTCTTATAAGGAGAGCCGATGTTTCCTCGTTTGTTCAATCACTATCTAAATAGTTGTTAAAAATTCTAAAAAAGTAATAACATTTATAACATATACATAAACTACTTAAAAAAATCAAGTCAAAACTCAACTCACAAATTGAAATATAAAAAAAACAAATCTAGCATATGAATATTATTGGTACTATTTACGTCTAAATTTATCTTTATTTTCTTAATGTTTGTAGATCAAATTTGAGTATAATTTTTCAGAGTACATACGATACATAGTAGATATTACTTACTCTACGTTGCCCATTTTTTTAGAACTATTTATATTCATCAATTTATTAAGAGAAAAAGATATAAGAGGGAATTAGAATCCTATCCCCGAACGACGAATCAGGCCCAACTAAATCAACATTGGGCCTCCAAATATCTGATGTTTGAGTCCATCACGAATTCGAATCACACGCCTACTGCCCATAAAAATCCTCTCGTGCTCTCCCGCGTCGCCACGCAGTGCGCAACCGCCAAATTAAAATCCTCATCGACTCAGCCTCTCCTCTCCTCGCCGTTGGCCATGGCGCTCGTCCCCGCCGCCGCCGCCACCACCGGCGTCGGGGAGGGCGACTTCTGGAACGTCGGCGACGGCGTCGTCTACGTCCTCGATCAGTCCGGCCCGCTGCTCCGAATGGACCTGCTGCTCGGCGTCCTGCGGCGACTCCGGGGCGGCGCCGCTGTGGCGCGCGCCCGCGACGCGTGCCGGTCGTGGCGCGCCGTGCTCTCCGACGATCTCTCCGACCCGATCGTCGACGCCGCGCGCCGCCTCCAGCGGCGGCAGGAGGAGCCGCGCCCCCCGCGCACGCGCAAGCGCAGCGGCAGGCGTGCGAAGGGAGACGGGATCCCGCCGCCGCGACACGGCCGGCGACCTCGCCGGAAGCCCGCGGAGTTTAGGATGGTGTGCCATTGACGAAGAGTTGGAGATAGATCTCGTTTGGCTGATTAGTTTTGGTTTGGTTTAATGTATAATTAGTCGGGTTGATCAAGGATTATTCGCTTGTGTTCTGCATAATACTTAGCTGTTAATGGTGTTTCGTTTGCTTGTCCATCTTCTTTTTTTTTAGATAATAAAGAATAAAATTGTCCATATTCTTGCATGCTCTCTTAGTTTCATATAAGTCGTTTAAATTTTTTTAACTAAATATTTTAAGTTTGATGAAGTTAGTAAAAAAATACTACATCCGTTTCAGGTTATAAAACTTTCTAGCATTGCCCACATTCATATAGACGTTAATGAATTTAGGCACATAGGCAATGCTAGAAAGTCTTATAATATGAAACAGAGGAAGTGTTTAATATAAAACAAATGTATCATCAAAATACATTAAATATTGCTAAATTTAATCTTCCCCGGCTAGAAATAGCTATGGCGAATCTAGGCATTGACAAAAGTGCAAGTTCTATATTGACTAGTCCTTCAATCTTGGCAGGGTGGTCGTGCAAGTTCTACATTGACTAGTCTTTCAATTTTGGCAGTGGCCGTCTACTAGAAGCCGTCTCCTAGAGATATGCTTGCTTCTTCTATTTCTCTTTCCATCTTGTAAGAAGCCCACCTCCGGATGGATACGCCCGGCAGGCTCCTTCCATGAGTGCGCAGCCTGGCCCATCAACTATAGACCACCTATATTATATTGGGCTTGCTTCACCACAGGCTCATTCGGAGCCACAACTTTAGATCCTGAGCCTATACAACCTAAAAGACTAATCTTATGAGTGAGGATTGGCGTTTCTTCCGCGTTTAGCTACCGATGTCGATTTTAGGTTAGGTTTTTTAACACCATCTTCTCTTTCCATCTTGCAAGAAGCCCACCCCTGGATGGATGCCGGGGGGACTCGGCTTGCTGCTGGCCTCCCTCGTTCCTGCGTGATCCATGTTTTGTGTTTTTGCCGTTAAGTATCTCTCCATACCCATGTTCTATCATGTTTGCTCTCTTCTAATATGTCGATGCGTAAGGCTTTTGTGTGTTTACAAAATAATTAGTTGCATATATTATGTAGTTATGTAGATATTTTACTTATTTTTATTGTAATGCAAGGTTGTATTTTTTGCATTTTTTTAATATACTAGTAAAAGTGCCCGTGCGTTGCAACGGGAAGAAAAAACGAGAAAATTGAATTAAAACATATTAAATTCTAATTAATTGCAATACATTTTTTTGGAATATTTGGGTATTTTTTATGTGGGTATGTATATAATTAAATTAATTTATAAGTAAACTAAGTGTGAAAAATAAAATAATATTGTTGGATTTAATTTTTATTAAATTCTCCATATTAATTACACTCTTTGAAATTTTATTGGAATTAAAAGGGCTTAATTGCTAATTTTGATAATACAAACATCATTTAAGTATTTATTTAAATAAAAATCATTCTTTCTCCATGGGCCATTTTCAGCCCATTTTCTTTTTCAATCCACAACCGAGCCGGCCAACTTTTCTCAAGCCGCAAGGGACTAAAGTCTAACTAACATCCCCATACTCCTCTCAGTTCCACGTTTGTGATGGACTGCTGGCCCACATGTGGCCAAGTGTCATGGTCCGGTGATGGAGGCTAGCCCGACACTCGATCGATCTGAGCCGTTTGTTTCAATGGACGGCTCATATCGGTTCCAAATTAATCAAAACCCTGATACAACCCTAACCCTAAATCATTCTCCCCCCACCCCCACCCTATCGCCGGCCGCCTCCTCCTACCTGACGCCACCTCCCCCTCCCCCCGCCCGACGCGGCCTCTTCCCCTCCCCTCACCCCTCCGGCGGTGTTGCTTCCCCTCCACTCTCCCTCCGGTGCCCCTCCGGCGGCGCCGCTTCCCCTTTCCTCTCCCCCCGTCTCACCTACATGGTGCGGTGACGACTGTCCCTCGCCCTCTCCCTCACCCCGTCGGCCTCGACGGCCGTCCCTCCCTGTCGGCCTCTTTGTTTCTATCGGCGACGGCACCCTCTCCACCCTCAAGATCCAGCGGCGTTGACGGCAACGACGCCGGCGGCTTCCTGCGGCGGATCCAACGGCGACGTAGACATCGCCGATCCGGCTTCACCGACGGCGCCGGCAGCTTCCCGTGGATGGATTCGATTTTATTTTTTACCGCGTCACATGTAATCAGATTCGATTTTATTTCTCCCGATTTTTTTCACCTTTTTTTCACGGACGGATGACGGAAACCTTTCTAATTTTCTAAGTAGGAGAGATAGAGATAGAGATAAATTTTATTATCAACCCTGTCTAAAGGAACACGACGATGCAAAACAAGAGTATGAAAAGGTATAGCAAATGTTGTACTGGACTCCGATTTTATCCCCATAAATTTTTCCATATACGTTACGTTTTTTGTATCAATTTTATCCCTTTGTCCTCGGAATCAAAATCCTTATAGTTTACGCGCAGAATGTTCTAGACTCTTCCACTGAGGAATCTGAAAATTCTGAAAATCCCAGATACCCAGTATCCCACATTCCCCATCGCTCTCGAAGCACGTCAGCGATGGCGCCGCCGACGAGACAGCCGCGATCTGGTGGACGGAGGAAGCGACGGATGGCGGCCGCCGGCGATGGCGGTGGCGGCGTCGCGGCCCTGATGCCGGAGGACATGGTGCGCGAGGTGTTGCTGCGCCTCCCGGCCAAGGCGGCCGCCCGCTTCCGCGCCGTGTGCCGGCCGTGGCGCGCCACGCTCTCGGACCCGCGCTTCGTCGCCGCGCACGCCGCGCGCCGGGGCGCCCTGCTCGTCGCCACCGGCGCCCCGTGCCGTACCAGCCGCGGGTCGGGCGGCCACGTCGACCTCGTGGGCCTCGCCGGCGACGTCGTGCGGCGGACGCGCGCGGAGGAGGGCGTCCTGGAGCTGTCCACGTGCGGCGATCTGGCCTGCGTCGTCGGGACGGACAGGAGGGCGCGCGTCCTCCACCCGGTCACCGGCGCCGGCGCCGACGACCCGCTGCCGCACGACCTCGCCGAGGAGAACAAGCCATGGGCGGGGTGGCGGCTCGAGGAGAGGTTCCACGCGTTCACCCACGCGTTCGGCCGCGCCTCCTCGACTGGCGAGTACAAGGTGCTCCGCGTGGCGAGCCTCTCCCCCGACCTGCGCGTCGAGCAGCTCGTCGAGGTCCTCGCCCTCGACCGCGCCGGCCGCGCCCACGCCGGTGCGAGGTGGAGAGGCATGCCGAGGCCGCCGTTCCACCTCGCCGGCGCCAGCAACGCCGGCATGGCCGTCGTCGCCGGCGTCGTGCACTTCTTGGCAGTTGACATACCCCTCCCCTTCCTCCCCTTCGAGCACGACGACGACGACATCCACCACGGCGCCATTGCTCGCTTCGACCTCGACACCGAGCAATGGAGGCCGCTTCTCCGTGGACCACTCAACATCCATCAGATCCAACAAGACAACGATCTGTCGCCGCCATTGCTGACCTTGACCGAGCTGAAAGGCTTCTTGGTTACAGTTCATCGCGATCGATCTCATCAATCATCATCAATGGATCTTTGGTTTCTGATCGACTCTGAAGAAGAAACCTGGGTCAAAGAATACAAAATTCAGATCCACCTTCGCCCTCGAGAATTCTACGCGCATCCATTGTTGGTGTTGGATGAGAGGATGATCGTGTTCTGCGTGCGACCCAAGGGGAGGGTGATGGTGTATGATCTGGAGATAGGGAAATGCAAGGATTTGGGTGATGGTGATTGTGTTGAGGTTGGTGTGTACAAGGGATGTTTGTTGAGTTCAGGTAGTGTTGTTGTTGACAATGACAAGTAGCACCATCTCATCAGAAGATAAATAATATCACTTTTAATCTTGTAATCCTTGCTTTTGCTATCATTTTTTTTACTTATATTTGCTTCCAATTTGTTTTGTGAACTTATCTGTTGGAGTACAAGTGAGAACTGTAAGTCTTTCCTCACCAATTTTCTTGTGAACGCTGTTTCCTCACCAATTTAAGCTTATTGGGTTAAATTGTTTAGTACATGTAACATAATATGGTATCAGAACCAAAGGTTTTGAATTCGAATCTGGCTGGCTACTTGGCTTACAATCTATCTATAAGCCACATGGTGGTGTTTAAATCTTCTAAAGATGAAGATGAAGGTTAAGTGTTTCACGTAAAACGAGGTGGTAATAATGTGTGTTAATTAAGTTTTAATTATTACAAACTTGAAAAATAGATTAATCTGATTATTTAGAACAACTTTCATATAGAAAGTTTCGTACGAAATGTACCGTTTAGCAATTTGAAAAGCATTCTACGAAAATCTAAAACTTAATCCATTCTTTTGAGAGGAAACGAACGGGAGTGTAAATCTCTAATAAATTATGAAAATTCCTATAAATTCATCGCACACATGCTCCTCTCTTCCTTTTCTTTAGCTTATAGTATGGAATCGTCATGGCATATCAAAATTTAAATAATCACAAGTTAAATCATATATCACTAAGTTTATAGAAAAATATACTAATATTTTCAATAGTAAACAAACATATTATCAAAATATATTCAATGTTCAATTTAATGAAGTTTGACTAAGAAAAAAATCAAATGAATTATAATACGAAACACAGTCGACTTACATAATTTGGACCATGAGTACAACAGCTTGGTCCGGCTCGGCCCGGCCCACTTAACAGCCTGACACTAATCCTTAAGAGCATGGCCAGCAGATACTCTATCCGGTCTTCCATCCTTAATTTGGCGTATAGAACGGAAAAAACTGACCAACCCATCCTCCAAAAGTGGCGGATGCGCCAAATTAGGAGAGAGAAAAGGTAAAAATGGAGTGTCTCTCTCCTCACACCATTTCTCAACAGCCGAGATCCCGCCCCCATCCGGACTTCCACGAGCACCTTCCCTCCGGTGCCACCTCCCCTCCATCGTCGTCATCGCTGGCCGGCGATGTTGAGTCCCTCGTGCCCGTTTCTGGTTGTTTTTTCAGCGGATCGTGGAGAGGGAGAGTGGAGTGAGAGTGGAGCGTACCAGATCTGGAGCTGCGCGGCCACCGTCTGCCATCATCGCCCTGCCCGCGGCGACCGCCTGCTGCCGCCCCTCGCCCGCCCGACCGCCACCGCCCCTCCCCTGCCCAGCCGCCGCCTCCCCTCGGCCGGCGCCTATCTGCCACCCCACTGCAAAGTCGTACTAGCAGAGAAGGTAGAGAAGAACAGTAAAAGAGAAGGAGAGAAAATACAGTGGGATGTTACTTGCTTTGATTTTATATTTATTGACCAGAGAAAAGTAATAGGAATAGTGTACAAATTAAATTCATGTTGCTATATTTTTTCTGTGCTTTTATGTTCATTTTATTTATGTTGCTATGATATATCCGTTAAAATTTACTCATTTCGAAATATTATCGTGATAAATAACACCGTTAAAATTAAGTCGTTCAAAATATATCCCTTGTAATACAAATGTAAGGTTAGTTGGAAGATATTACTAAGATATAGGATGATGGGATATGGATAATGTAATATAGATAATCTGTTGGAGTTAAAAGAGATATGGATGAGGAATCTTCTTGGGATGATACTCCATAAGGGTATTTGGAGGACCAAATATAGATGCACGCCCAAGCCCCAGTGCCAACTAGGGATGAAAACGGATCGAATACGGTCGGAAACTAGCTATATCATATTCGTTTTCATATTTTTTCTCGGAATCGAAATCGGAATCGGAAACCCGGATACGAAAACGGAATCGAATATTATCGAATACAGATACGGAATGAATACGAATCGAAACGAATACGGTAACGAATAATTATCAAAATATCAAGACCCCTCAAAATAAGTTTCTTAAATCGAGGAAGAGATATAGCCATTAGTTTTCAAAAACAAAACATCAGTATTTTTAAATTTTATCTCTATTTATAAGGGCAAGGGGGAGATAGAAAATGTTATGTTTACTTTTCATACAAATTTATGTTATCATGAAACAAATAAATTAATGTGTATCACTGAAATTTTTGCAGGCACATTGAAATTTTTGAAAATTGGTTGAATATTTTAAATTTTGGGTTGAACATCTCAATTGAAAGTTTTTAAAAATTTGAGTGGTTATTTTTCAGAATTGAATTTTTTGATTTGTTTGTACATGGATCACTTAAGGACCATACGGGTGACTTAAGAAGCCGTATGCAAAAATAAATTTGAAACTTTGAAACTAGTTTATCTCACTCATATGAACTCCAAATTGGATGATTCTTTTTTCTAAATGTTTCTAAAATCATACTTTATCAAGTTATTGTGTTATTACTACTATTATTTTGGTCATTTTTTTCTTGTGACTTTGTTTTATCAACTAAAAATTTGAATTTGAAAACTTCAAATAATATTTTGAAGCTGTAATTAATTTCAGCTGAAAAAGTCGTGAACATAAAAGTTGTAGAGCTCATCAAGACATACAACTTTTATTTTGGTCATTTCTTCATCCGATAAAGTGATAGTAACATTGTTCACAAAGTTTACATATCTCTCTTATAGTTTATAGAACCAGATGAGACAGATGTAAATTTTGTAAACAATGTTACTATCATTTTGTCGAATGAAGAAACGACCAAAATAAAAGTTATAGATCTTGATGAGTTATACAACTTCGTTGTTGATGACTTTTTCAATTGAAATCATTTAGTATTTCAAAATATTATTTGAAGTTGTCATATTTTGAAATTCAAATTCAAACGGTTCAAACAAAGTCATATTGAAAAATGTCCAAAATAAAAGTTGTAGATGTTGATGCGTTATACAACTTTGTTGTTGAGAAATTTTTCATTTGAAATCAGTTATTACCCGGAATATTATTTGAATTTATTATATTTTTAAATTCAAATTTTATATAGTTTAATAAAACTCGGATGGAGAAATGACCAAAATAAAAATGGTAGATCTCAATAAATTATACAACTTTGTTTTTGACAACTTTTTCATACGAGTTGATTTTAATGCCTTAAAATTCATTTTAAAGAGCCAGATGTAAAAAAAAATTGATTTTTACATTGAAAAAAAATTCACCCTTTTTTCACCCCAACCTTATCTTCTCTTCTCTTGACTTTTCCTCTCCTCTCTCTCTCACTTTCTACTCTCTCTCTCTCTCACTTCCTCATCCACAGCGGTGCCGGGCGGGGCGGCGACGGGCGGCGGCGACGGGTGGGCGGGCGCGGCGGGCTGCGACGGGCGGCGGCGGGCGGGAGCGGCCGCGGGCTCGAGCGGCACGCCGCGCGGCGGGCGGCGGCGGCGGGCGGCGAAAGCGGCCTCGACTGCCGCGACCTAGGGAGCGGCTGCGGCGACGGCTTCGGTGGGCGGCGACGACGTCGATGGGCGGCAGTGGCAGGCGGCTGCGGCGACGGCCGGTGGCGGGCGGCAGCGGCAGGCGGCTGCGGCGACGGCCGATGGCGGGCGGCCGCAGCGGCGCGGATCTGGCGCCGGCCACGCGGCGGCCGGCGGTGGGCGGCGCGGCCGGCTAGGGTTCCTTTTTTTTTTTGCTAAAAATTATCCCGGATATCCGATGAAAATTCCCGGATAGTTTCCGACCGAATTCGTTTTCATATCCGAGAAAAAAATTCGAATTCGTTTCCGAATCCGAGAAATTCTGAATAGTTCCGACCGAATTTTTCCGAATTCGAAAATTGGTCCGGACGGACGGAAACTATCCGAACCAGTTTCATCCCTAGTGCCAACCGCTCAACTCCCCTTCGATTCGGTCCGCGTCGCCCTCTCCACTGCTGACCTCGCCGCCGGCATCGCCGCCACCCTCCTCCCTGGCCACAATCCGGTGACTCCTCCGTGGTAAACACCCTCTCCTCCTCCTCCTCCTCCTCCTCCTCCTTGTTCTCTCATTGCAAATACACCACGGCTAATGCTGCCCGAGTATATCTGTTACCAGCGGACGAGAAAAAGGAAAACGTGGGACGCCAAACGCACCTACGCACGATGGCCATCCAACGGCGGAGAACGCACGCAACGACCGCGCTCCAAATCCACCCCTGGGCTCCGGGCCGGATGACGTGCCAAGCAACGGCAAGGGCCACGACAGCGCAAATCGCCGCCCAGACCAGCCATTCCCGGCAAGTTTGTATATAAGAGATATGTTGGGGGTCTCCAAAACCCTACGTATTTCATAGGGCACACCCATGTCGAAATGCTACTTGCTTCCTCATTTCATTCAATATTTCTGAATCGATTTGCGCTTGTTTGTCAACTGATTTGTATTAGATGGGATGGATGCCAAATAAAGGGAGTATATTCGAGACGTTAGATCTTCTCATTGTTTCTAGATATGAATCATCTGAAACGGAATGCTACCGTGTGTCCAAACCAACCCCATCAATCTGCTCTATAGATCGACTTGCCATTAAATGAAATGTTACAATGTACAAAATAAAAGTTATAGATTTTGATGAGTTATATAATTTTGTTATTGATGACTTTTTCAGTTCAAATCATTTAGTATTTAAAAATATTGTTAGAAGTTGTCATATTTTCAAATTCAAATTCAAACTGTTCAAACAAAGTCATATAAAAAATAACCAAAATAAAAGTTATAGATCTTGATAAGTTAAACAACTTTGTTTTTGACAATTTTTCCATTTGAAATCATTTACTACCCGAAAAAATATTTGAATTTCTTACATTTTAAAATTCAAATTTTATATAGTTTAAACAAACTCGGATGGAGAAATGACCAAAATAAAATTGGTAGATATCACTGAGTTCTACAATTTTGTTTTTGATAACTTTTTCATATGAGTTCATTTAGTATCATGAAATTCAATTCAAAGTTCATTTTTTTCCAAGAAGTCTGATTTGCCTTCTCTTTGGGTTGGACTGGATTATGGGACTTATGTGTAAGTCGGATATCCGATGAAAAATACCGGATAATATCCGACGGATATCACCTATATCATATTCGTTTTCATATCCGGAAAAATTATCCGAATTCGTTTCAGAATTCGAAAATTTCCGGATATATCCGACCGAAACTATCCGAATCCGAAAAAAGGTCCGGTCGGACGGAAGTTATCCGAATCACTTTCAACCCTATTAATATGTATATTTTTTTTGTGAAATTTGTTAGTTGATGTGTATGGTGTGCACATGGGAAATTTATTAGTAGGTTCCCTCGTTCCGGGGCTCAAATTCGCGCAAACAGCCCTAGCGCCCGCGCCAATTCAGTGGGATTAGATAACGTGACCCATTTGGTTAGGCGCAAGTTGTTCCACTAAATGAAATGGTGATGTGGTCAACGTGGTTCTTGCTACCTATACTATACACTTGCTATATATAAGTGTTAACTGGTTGTTGACCAACGAGAAGTCTGCTCTTGATGTACTATCAAATGATGAAAAATAAAATTAAGTAAAATGGCAGAGTCCGTGTATTTATTATTTAAGGCCAACTTGTATTTTGAACCGGGAATAGTATAGCACTAGTAAAGTACCTCATGCTAAGATATAATACCTTTATTTTTTACTTCGTTTACACTGTTGATTTTTTAAAATACGTTTAATTATTTATATTATTTAATAAAATATATAATCATCGTTTATTTTATTGTGACTAGCAAAATATTCGTGTGTTGCACTGGATGAAACCAAAAGGAAACAATAATGAGTGTGTGTGGGGGAGAATAAGGCCACCAGGTTAATCGTGGACCTTATAGCCAAATCGAATCTTCCAGCACCAACATAAGGAATACGCTCACATGGCATAATTCTTTTTGTTGCAACAAAACCAGTCATGGATGATTATAAGGAAAAGAAATAATACCACCTTAAAATAAAATTATGTATTAGCATATTACTTCCTCCGTTTCATATATATTATAAGACTTTCTAGCATTGCCGAACATCTATATCAATACAGGCAATACTAGGAAGTCTTATAACCTGAAACAGAGGTAGTATTAAGTTTGGAACCATAATGAGTTTATTTATTTTTGTCATATATTATTATTGTAGTCAGTTGCAATGCATGGTTAGTGGTAAACAAAATTATTTTTTTAATATTGTAAAGAGTAGCCACTGTAGAAGAAATGTTTTTTCTGGCTAGATATGGGATCAAGCTCACTGCACTCCAATCCCAGAATTGCTTTCATTCTAAAAAAATAAAAATCAGTAGGAAATCACAATAAATTAAAAAAAAAGTGATTTGTAGGTGTCCCGGCAGCGCATGAGAAATTGAGAACCGACTGCGGAGGAAAAAAAATCTTGATGTCTCGAGTTGCGCAGGAAGCACGATCTTTTTTTTCCTATATAAAATAATATATAAAAAAGATATTTCAGTGCTCCAGCCCAAAATTAGTTTTTTTTTACGGGTACAAAAATTAGAGTTTGGGGAGATGCGTGGTTAGGATCACGCCCTTTCAGATAACAATACCCTTCTCGATAGAAACACTCAACTGTAGCAGAGGTTATGAGTACAATACCACTTAATATCTCATTTAGGCGAGCGATTATTCGACCTAAATTGTTTTGTTGCAATAATTTAATTTGGCAATTGGCCATGGTTACCCTATCAAACGAAGAAGGCCTTCGTATGGTCGTTACATAAAAGTGGCAGTATTTTTGTTTCATCGACGTAAACGGAGGCAATGAACTAAGGTTCCGCAATTTAAAGTTTTCATTTGGTTCCTTCGTAGAAAAATAATTCTAACAAAAGATAATCTTGCTAAAAGGAATGAAGGAGAAACAAACAATGTTGATTTTTTTAATATACAAGAGACAATTCAACACTTGTTTCTTGATTGCCATATTGCTCATTTTACATGTATGGCGATGTGTTTTCTTTGCTTTTAATACCCCCTTCTCCGGAACGCCAAGAAAAATTGGTAGTTAGCTTAGGGAGTGCCTAGATCTATGAAAAAACAAGTTTTATTTGGAGCTATTGTGACTATGTTGATCAATTTAGTTTGCCGAAATAATAGAGAATTTAATAGCACAATATTATCTAACCTTTTATAGGTTATCTTTATGTGTTCCAACTAATTCTAATATTGATCAATGACTCTACCATAGGAGGAACATGCTATTATGTGAATCGGTTGGCAAGCGTATTTTGTTCAATTATGAGTGACGTAATATACATTGGCTTAATTGTTAAAATTTGTGTGGTTTCTTTTAGCCTTCCAAGTGTCTTTACTTAGTAGTTGAGGACTTGTCCCTATAGATGACCAAATGGATCGTCTGGCTCAACTTGGCTCGGGCTAGTCCAGACCCGAGAACAATTGGGCCGGCATGGCCCGACCTACATGCCGAGGCTAGCCGTGCTCGCCCACAGGCTACACCAACGACCCAAGCAAGGCCCAATAAAACTCGGACCGTGTCGGCTGGCTCGAAGTCATGAAAGCCCACCGCGCTCCTCCTTGGAATAAGTCTATTTTACCTTCCTCATCTCTTTGCGCCGTATCTTATATAGATGGAATAAATCTATTTTGCATACATCGTCTCTTTGGGTTGTGCCTTAATTATATAACTGAAATAAGTATATTTTGTCTCACTGATCATTGGATCGTGCCTTGCCGAGCCAGCCAGACATGACCCAACGGTTGGATCGGGCCGATATGAGCCCAACACCAGTCGGGCTGTATCGTGGTTAGACTAGGCCAAAACCCCGTACGGTGCGCTGGGCCATCGGGCCCGGGCCTTACTCGTCCCACCATTTTTTTATTAAAGACTCATAGGTTGCGTGTTGACCAGGGATGTACTCCTAGTACATTCCTATTATTAAAGAATATATATTTCACATCACATGGGCTCATGGGCGTCAACTCAGTGGGATTAGTTTATGTGGCCGATTTGGTTAGCACTAACCGTGCATGTTGCCCCAGTACTTAATTATCCAAAATGTTAATGTAGTCATCGTGTTTCTTGCTACCTACTCCCTCCGTTTCACAATGTAAGTCATTCTAATATTTCATATATTTATATTGATGTTAATGAATCTAGATAGATATATATGTCTAGATTCATTAATATTAATATAAATGTGGGAAATGTTACAATGACTTACATTATGAAACGGAGGAAGTAGTATACATGTTGATATATAAGTTTAAGCATTAGGTGGTTGTTAACCGGCGAAGTCTGCTCTGAATGTACTATCAAATCAAAAGAAAAATTAATTAATGAAGTAAAATGGAGTATTTTTATCTATATATCTTGTATGCATACACGAAGCCCCCGCATCAAGAATCCTAAGTTATTGGATCGATTACGTTAGTATAAAATTATCTACCATCTTATCAACTAGTTAGTGATCCACAATCATTAGTATGTATGTATGTATGTAGCGAAAACCTGCAAATCACCCTTGGATCTAAAAATGGATGCATAAGATTTGATCACGTCACTAACTTCCATATTCAACCTGGGAGTAAAATTTTTACTCTCGATGACGTGGCCAAATTAAATCTTAGGCATTTATTTTTAGATCCAATGGTAGTTTTCATCTTTCCACTACATATGCGATTTGCACTACATATTTTTCGCGGTATCGGTAATCCTAAGACCATATTAGCATAAAATTATCAACCATTATAACAAGAAATTACTTATCTGCATTTATTAGATGTCTATTCCCTTCTCTCTCTCTGACTTTAATATCTAATGGGGAATGCTACGTGACGGTATCCTGTTCGCATGGGATGATACTTCAGAGGTATCATCCCATCTGAACAAGGTATCAGGCGATAGCTTAGAGGTATCGTCCCGTTCAAACAGGATACCGTCTTGTAGCATTTTTCTATATAATAGAGTTGGACACGGTTATTAAGAAAATTGGTAGAATTATATGGTGGAAGATTACGATTAGTTGGGATGTAGAGATAGGTGGAAAAACTAAATGGTGGAGATCAGTTGTAATTGGTTGAGAAGAGAATGTTGGTGGAGAAGTTGTTATATTTTGTGACAAATTGAAAATGCTAAAAGTTGTTATATTTTGTGACGGAGGGAGTATACACAGCAACACCTGCTCAGGAGGAATACAAACTAAAAGGGTGATGAGCACACAATCTAATTGCAATATATCAAGGTTAAACAAGTACGTAATATTATGATTTCATAATAGTACATATTCATGCCATATGAGACTATTTTCACGTAGTGTTGCTTTGAAAACAATAAACCGTGAAGCAATATTTTCACCTAATAATTTTAAATTTGAATCTTCACCGTGATAAATTTAATAAATCCAGCGCAGGGTATTTTATAGTTTATTATTTGTATTTTGAGCTGGGAATAATACCACACTAGTAAGCACCGCAATCGTCTTATATAATTTAGTGATTTGATTGGCATAAATACATCCTCAGTATTTGCCTGGAAACATTACGGTGCGCAGAGCTTAGCTTGTTAGGCTTGACGCGTTCTCTGTAGAAATGGAGAGCGCGGTGGCGAGCTACGCGGAGGGCGTGGGGAAAGCCATTGTGGGGAAGATTGGGCAGCTGGTGAGTGACGAGTTCCGGCTACTCAGCGGCGTCCGCGGTGAGATCGTGTACCTCAGGGACGATGTGGCCATCATGAATGCCCTCCTCCGCATGCTCTCCGAGGCGGACGAGGGTACCGTCGTCCACTTCGTCCGGGAGTGGATGAAGCAGGTGCGCGAGCTCGCCTACGACGCCGAGGACTGCATCGACCTCTTCTTGCTCCGCATCAGCTTCGCCCCGCCGCGCGCCGGTGCGCTCGGCCTCGCCTGGCGGCGGCTCGTCACGATTGGCCCGCGGCAACGCCTCGCCGTCGACATCCAGAACCTTCACGCCCGTGCCCTCGCCATCAGCGAGCGGCGCGTGCGTTACGAAGTCGACGGCCAGGCACTGCGCCCCTCCGTGTGGTTCGTCCCTGCCGCCACCGCGGCGACGATGTCCTCCGCCGCGCACACGCTCCGCCTCCACCCCGCGAACGAATACCCTAGCAAGTTCTTGGGCATCGGCGACCAGGTGCAGCGTTTGTCCGATCTGGTGAAATCGAATAGGCTGACGAGTGACAACAATGAGCCCGACGTTAGTCTCAAGGTGTTCTCCATCGTGGGGTTCGGTGGTCTCGGGAAGACGACGCTTGCCATGGAGGTTTGCCGGAACCTGGAGGAGGAGTTCCCATGCCAGGCAATGGTGTCGGTGTCTCAGGCGTTCGACTCCAGAAAGGACCTCAGTGGATTGCTTAAGCGCATGCTGCAGCAGATCGTGAGGGTTCGAAGGGACCTGCAACTGCAAGAAGAGAAGCCATTGGCTAACATCGACGACGGCGATGCCGACTGGCTAGCGATGAAGCTCAGAGAGCATCTCGCAGACAGGAGGTATGGACGTACTCTTGCGCTGTTAATATGCCCTGCTACTCTCGTGTGGTAATCCTTTACTGCTTCCTTGTTTTTAAAAAAACGGTTTACTCCTTCCGTTATTTCAAAATATAAAAATGCTGTGCATACAAAAGTAACCGTTGGTAGAGAATTAACTAATATAAAGAGCGCAACGCGTTGTATAAGCTAGTAGCGCGCCTCACATCGATGAATTCACAAAATCTATGCGAACGTTCGTTGTCGGTTGATTGAGAGAGATAACACATCTTTTTTCACGCGCACGCTTTCTAAACTACTAAACGGTGCGTTTTTTACAAAAAATTTTCTATAGAAAAGTTAGTTTAAAAAAATCATATTAATCTAGTTTTAAATTAATACTTAATTAATCATGCGCTAATGGCTATATGTCGTTTTACATATCTTCTCTTTTCCTCCTCTTAAATAGTGCAACGTGTGGTTTGGCGTTAACTCTGAACGGTCTATATAAGAGGCGACTACATTGCTAAAAAAATCTAACTCAATGCATGTAATTTCTTCATGATATTAGAAGTAACTATATTGTTATATGAAAGTAACTCTTGACAATATTAAAAGTAACTGCATTGTTCTGTTATTAAAATAGTCACTATTCATGGTATTTGAGGTAACTATGTTGGTACAGGACCTAAGAACAAAGTAAAAAAATTGAATATATTCAATATTGAACTTGTTTTGGAAAGAAGTACGTCGCCGGTTAGCGCTATTACACTAGCGCACCATCTAGTCGCAAAATATAAATCGAGAGCATTCTTGTTTTTGTCCTATCGCGCAACACTGGATTAACGAGCGACGCCGATAATATGCGAGACAACTACTACTACACGTCTACAATTTGCTATCAGGTCATGTATGTCTTTTTCTTTCCTTACAGAATTTTCCCTTGAAATACTACTTATGCAATCCGACTACGCTTTTGTATTCATTGTAATAAAATTTTTATAACAAGTTCTCACATGATTATATTCTAATAAAAATATGTATGCATGTTTTAAATTACTTTTATATCATATATGTAAAATATGTGTGTTTTTTATTAGAATATAATCATGTAAGATCTCGGTATAGAGATTTAATTACATCGAACACAATAGTATAATCGGATTATAGATCAGATAAGTAATTTAAAGAATATTTTGTTTGAAATTTAGATGTTAGGAAGTAGGCGAGGGTATGGGATAAAGTAACCATGAAAGGGAAGAGGAGAGGAAGAGGTGCATGTTTTTTTTTTTACTTTGGAGAGTGAGGTTGCTGGTTCTGACAATTGTCAGTTCACATTCTCATTGTAGTCGCATCCATATATATATACTATTAGATCCATAACTACCAACCAACACCACTCCATTCAGTGGCAGAGCCAGGATTTCAAAGCTGGGTATTCCCGTCTAAGCGCTGAGCCGCTGGCCGCCCCTGCCCCTCTCGGCCGCCGGCCACCCAACCGGCCTGACCGCCTGAGCTTGGCGGAGTGGTGGGTGCCGGCCGGCAGCCGCCGTGGCAATGGCCTCCCCCTCCGCGGTAGCACGATCCAGCTCCCGCCTCTCCACGCCACGGAGGGATGGGTACCGGAAGGAGAACGAGAGGGGGGGGCGTCTCGAAGAGTGGTGGCTAATGTAACACCCCATGAAAAAAAAAAGAGCAAGCTAGCAGCCCAGCAGCCTTGGGCCTTGGCCCATGCGTGCAGCCCAACAGCAGCAGCGAGCAAGCAGCAGCCAGCACAGTACCGTCGTGGTACTGTAGCAGTTTAGTCCCACCTCGCTACTTCACGCTGGGATGCCCCAGCTTATAAGGATGAGCAGTCCTGTCTCTGTAACGCTGGTTTAAACCTCTAGCGCGAAAGCGAGTACCAAGACGCAATATGCTACGTGCGTGTATAGAAGAGGTACGTGCACCGTCTGCCTCAAGCACGATACCTGACACCCAAGCACAATTTACACAATTAACAAACTTCAATTACTCCTGTTCAGCCTGTTTTGGACTTGGGGATGTACATCGATCTAACGCAAAGAAAAAGAAATCGGTTATAGCTTCGTTCGTACATATAGAGTACAAGATATTAGATATTGGATAGTAGTATAAAAAATCGAGATTCATTTTTCTTTCAGCGTAAGGGGGCAAATTAGCTTGGGACTACATGTGTGTATCACAAATGACCGAGCTAAAAGCTTTATCTACCAATTATTTTAGAGACTTAAAAGTTAAAAACTATTTAGTATTTAAACTACCATGGTTGTATAAATGGACAATTCTTTCAAACAAGAAAGATAAAATAGGATAAGCATTGTAGGCTTCATATTTAGGATTATGCAATATAAATATAATCACTAAAGGCCTAATGCATGTTAGCTAAAATAAAATAACAAAGTGATAGTTTGCATTATGCAAATTCCTAATGTTTAATCATAAATTTTAGAGTAAAAATATTTACATCGTGACAACAATCATACCACACTACATAATAATTACACATGCTGAGTTATTTTTCGCAATAAAATTATGTTCCTACTAAGCTACATGGAGTCTCACACACTCACACGAAACAATAAACTATCTCCCACACTGTGAAATCAATTTAGACTTGAGAAGGCTTTTTATTTGAAATATATATTATGTCACATGCACCCAAGGTATCCATTAATACACAATGAGATAATCAAGTATACAGAGAAAAAAAGCAGGTGCATCTCATCAAAGGATAGGATACGGTAAGTTATAATATATGTAGCCAATTTGCTACATACCAAAAGGAACACCAAAAGTAACTATCAAGTTGTATTGATTGTTGGCAAACAATGATATGGGCACAAAGATTTGTATATTCTATTATTTTCATAACCAATCAATGTGAAATTACAACTTTAAGCCACTTCTCCAACTTTTTTAATTGAATGTACAATTATGTTCATCACACTTCTAAACAAATGATTTCCGCGAGAATACTTTTCACATGTTCCTCAAATATGCAGCCTTTTGGCTCAGACTCATGGGCTATCTTTAGAAATAACTTTTGTAATATTTTTACACATAATTATTTTAGTGGAGTACTTAACCCACAAGGTAGCGTTGAAGCTTTTACACAGTGAACTATCTTAGTGGAGCACTTACTCCGCAAAAGTAGTATTGAATCAATTTCCTCCCTTGTCTACAGGGAAAAAAAAAGCTCATTTTACATCCTAACGATATTTTATTCTTTTAAACTTCTTATGCTTCTCTACAAACAAGTCATATTTCGCTTTGACACATCAAGAGACGAAGGTCAATGATAAATGATAATTAAGTGAATACACTATATTCCACGACTTGCATGTAAATGCCTCTAAGGTGTCAATACAAAATCAATAGCATTTCTTATAACAATATGATTAAAAATTTCCTACTAATTTTTATTTTAAGACTCATATTGACTAGGTACTTTTCTTAAAAACTAGCTGGGTGGCCCGCGCAATTGCGCGGCTAGCACCCATACAAAATCATATATTTTTTAGTATGATTTAACTTAAAATTTATTAAATAGCTATCTCATTGTCTTAAGACTTTGAAAGACCAAACCTTATCATCCTCGTGTTTCTAATTATATAGTTTTTAAAAGTTACACCAGTTGCTACCCCTTATGTCATCTCCTTTTTTATTTGCTTGCTCGATCTACTACTATTTCTATTCATTCTTCTTGGAACATTTAAAAATTGGATTTTATAGTTTTTAGAGTTTATTGTCACGTTGAGTTTCATTTTTATAATTTCTAGATGTCCCGTCAAACGTTGCTATTATACTCCTCTGCGGCCCATCCACTGTCTCTTCTCTTTATTTTCATTGAGATTTTAAAAACGAACATAATTATCGTTTGGATTCATTTTTTACTTTCTAGAAGTCTTGCCAAACCGTCAGCAGCTTTGCCATTGTACTCCTCTACGGCTCGCCCGCTGCCTCCCTTCTTGTAGCGCCCGTTCCGTCGTGGCGCCTAGCGGGAAAATTATCTCTTAAAAACCCTAATTGCGAAATTTGTTTCTTCGCTTGTCGTCTAGGGTCCGTGCCATCTCAAGATCTCAATCCCCGATCTATCATCAAGTTCAAATCCGAATCCAAATATTTCCAAATCAAATTCCTCCGCAAAAGTCTATTTTGCCTCCCCCGGGGTCGATGGGCCGAATTTCTCTCGGCCCATCTTCCCCTCTCCCCCGGCCCTCTCCTCTCCCCCGGCGCGCTCCCGCTCTCCCTCTCTCTCTCTCTCTCTCGCCCCCTCCCCTCCCCCGGCGCGCTCCCTCTCCCCCTCTCCCTCCGCTCCGCTCCGCCCCGCCAGCGCCGCGCCGAGCGCCCCCTCCCTTTCCCCTCGCTCTACCCGCGCGTGCGCGAGCGCCGCGCCGAGCGCCCCCTCCCTTTCCCCTCGCTCTGCCCGCGCGTGCGCAAGCGCCGCGCCGAGCGCCCCCTCCCCTCGCTCTCCTTCTCCTCTCCCTGGCGAGCTCCCCGCTCGCGAAGACGGCCCCCGCGCGCCGTCGTTCGCGCGCGCGCGCCCGCGTGGTTCCCCGCCCGAGCCGCGTCGTCTGCGCCGTCCGCGTCGCCCGGCCCCGCTGCTCTGCCGCGCCTGCAGCCGCTCGGCCTCGCGAGCCAGCGCGCGTGCCCAGCCGCGCCGCCCGTTGTTTCCCGCGCGCGCGTGCCGAGTGGCCGACCGCCTGGTCGCCGCGCCGTCACCCTCTGCCGCGCCAGCCCGCGCCTGTCGCCCGTGTCGTCGCGCCGCTCCAAACCGCCCCGCCGTCATCGCCGTCGTCATCACCTCGGCCCCGCCACTCCCGCGCTAGCCTCCAAGGGACGGAGGCAGAGCCTCCCTCCTCCCTCTGCCGCGACGCCCCCGCTCCCTCCTCCTTTTCCCGAAGAGGCAAGGGGACAAGCCCCCTTTTCTCTCCCTCTTTTCCCCTTTTTCCCTCCCGCCGGCATCATCCTCCTCCCTCCTCCCTGTCGCCGCTTTGGCCGCGACCGCCGAGCGCTAGCCCTCTCCTTTGACCGCCCTAAGTCAGTTCCCAAACCGACATTGCCATCCTATAAACCCGAGCTCCCCCCCTTTTTCCTTTCCTCTCCCATTCACCTCCGCGCCATTGCCGCCCCTCTGTTTCGCCGTCGCCGTTCGTCGTTGCGCGTGTCGGAGGAGCCGGCACGAGCAAGGACGCGGAAGGGGACTTCGGCCGCGCCCTCTCCTTCCTCTTCCCCGGCCCGAGGCCGGAGAGATTACTCCCGCGCCGTCGGCCTCTCGTCACAGCGCCCCGACCCGCACGGTAGTGCCTCTCTCCATTCTTCCTCCTCGCTCCATCTCCCCCCCTTAGTTTTCGGTGGTAGCACGAGTAGCCTCCCCGTAGCTAGCCGGCGCCGCCCCGACCGTTGCCGTCGCTCGCCGTGTGCTCGCCGCCGTCGCCGCTCGAGCTCCGTAGCACCCGCTCGTCGCCAGCCTCGCTCGGCGTAGCTCCGCCCAATCCGACGCTAACATCGGATTCCCATAGCCGCGTAGATGCTCTCACCTCCGGGAATCGGCCCCTCGTGACCTCGTCGCCGTTTCCCTCTTCCCTCCCCGCCGGTTGCCGCCGCCGCGATTCGCCGCCGTCAAGCTTCCTCCGGCGAATCCGAGCCGTTGGCTCGTCTCCCCTCGTCTCGTGCAACCACCCGGTGTGCTCGTTTTCGCCGGTATCGCCGTGATTCGCTCCGCCGCTTGCCACTATTGTCCGCCGTCCGTTCCAGCCGGCGTCGTCGTCTACCTCCCGCCAGCCCACGTGGCAGCCACGTAGGCGCCACGTCGGCGCCAGCTCAGCCGAGGTCGGGACGGGCCGACCCCGGTCAGCCCCTCCCGTGCGCGTGTTCCACCGCGAGCCGTGAGGCTGCGCGTGGGCCCGCCGCATCCGTTCCTCCGCAGACCGTGCGCGTGCACCGCGTCCCTCCCCCGCCCGCGCGCGTGCGCCGCGTACTCCCTCCGCACGGTGAGCCGAGCCGCTGACAAGCGGGTCCTACCCGGGACCGCGTGCGGTGAGCCCGGTCCACCGGCTCTCTCTCCTCCCTCCCGCGCGCGCGACCGTCTTGGGCCGGCCGGCCCATTTAGCTCGGCCGGACCGCCCCAATTCTCTTGGGCCGCGCCCTAGCCGCCCGAGAAAAGTCTATTTTCCCTCCCTCTTTTCTTTTCTTTTCCAAAAAGGATTTAATTAAATCCTTTTCCTTTAGACCAAAAATCCAATAATCTTAGAAATTCAATACCTTCCCAACCGTAAATCCGTTTGACTCCGTTCAACTTCCAAAATTCCTCAAATCTCGAGATCTATCTAATGGCACGCTTAGAGGTCATTAATAGGGCTTTATTTTTCGCCGTTTGTTGAGTTGTCCCGTTTCGCGTGTAGTTCCGGAGCCCGAAGACCCGCAGTGCGAGGATTTCGAGGATCAAGCTCCAGATCTCGAGCAAGGCACGCCACCTTTGAACATCTTGAGCCTATATTTGAAATTTAATTATGTTGCTTGAAAAATATTATGCACTGATAGGATCGCACTTAATCTGTTGTCCCGTCTGCAAGGCAGTTTGGCGGACATACCTAATTTGTTGCATTGATCCTCCCTTTGTTAATTGTTATATCATGTCCCCTTGTAACCATCTAGATGCGTCTCGATATTCGTGCACCCTGTGCGAGTATCGACGGACGCCTTCAAACTTAAAATCTGAAAAACAACTTGGGTAAAACTTGGGTTTTACAAAAGACTTGGAAAACCCGACACCTGGGTCGGTGCTTGCGAACTAAATGAATTTCCAAAACCGCGGACCGGGGAACGTACCGGGTGTACGGTTTCCCGCTCTCGCACTTAAGGACCGATTCCTTGGAATTTCATCCAAACATAAGTCAAGTACGACCACATGGGTGGAATGGGACACCCCTGGCTGAGTAACTAGCTTATCAGGGGAGCCTTGATGCCGAGAGACATGTGGATTCGCCGGGGTGGTGTCGGGGAGGACCCCTGGGCTTCCTGGCACAGTATGGTCTGGGACCTAACCTGTTGTTGGTCTGGGACCCCTCTCGTCGGCATATGGTAAACCTGTGTCGGCTTTGGAAATGCCTTGTCATGAAAGCTTGGAGGTCTCCCGACGTGGCTGATCCCCACGGGCTGGGTGATCCGGGTTAGTAATGTCATGTGGGTAAAGTGTACCCCCTCTGCAGAGGTTAACAAACTGTTCGAACAGCCGTGCCCACGGTCATGGGCGGATGTGAGGTGATTCCTAGCGTAGTTTTGTTTGACTACTGCTTGTGAAATTGCTGTTGTGGAAAGGGGTTCGATGTTTGAAAAATCAGCAGCTGACGGGTTCAGCTAGGCCCGGGTGGCCGTTTGAAAGTTGTTGGCCCGGGTGGCCGTTTGAAAGTTGTTGGCCGGGTGCCAATCTTGATCAATTCTAAAGACTGATACATTGCACAAACTCCGACCGGACGAGACGCACTGTCTCAACCGTGTCATTTGAGAAGCACTCACTTAGTTGTTTTCAGAAAGGTGTTCAAATAAAATCAATTGTAAAAACAACAGACTTTCCTTGAAGCCTGCATTAAACACTTAATTCCCATGGCTTGCTGAGTACTCCCGTACTCACCCTTGCTCTATATAAATATCCCCTCCCCCTCAGTTGCTGAAGAAGATGAAGCGGATCCTGTTGATGAGGAGTTCTTCCAGGAGCAAGCCAGCTACGATGAGTTTTAGGGTTTCGGCCTAGTTCCCAAGTCGCGCCTGTGTTGATTGGTCCAAGTCCTGGCTTCCGTTTCCCTTTTGTAATGCAGTTGTGAGCTCGGGATCTGTCCACAGCCCAACATGACTGTACCTCTACTCTATAATAAAGAGACCTCTGTTGCTGTGATATTCCGTCTTCCTGTGATACCAGCACTATTTCCTGGGACTGGTATCGATTAACAGGTTAATTTGGAGCGTCACGGGCTAGTTCCGGTCGGGACTAGTTCGGGGCGTGACACTTCTTTATTGTCATTGAGATTTTAAAATCGAACATAATTCTCATTGTTTTTTTTTACTTTTTAGAAGTTCCAAACCTTTAAAACTTGGATTTGTAGTTTCATTTTTTATAATTTTTAGAAGTCCTATCAAACGATGCCACTATGCTCCTCTACAGCCCGTCCGCCGCCTACTCTTTATTGTCATTGTGATTCTAAAAATCGAACATAACTATCATTGGCATTCATTTTTTATTTTCTAAAAGACCCATCAACCGTCGGTGGCTCTGCAACTATACTCTTATACACCCGCCGTCCGCTGATTCTCCTTTTTTATTATCATTGGGATTTTAAAAATCGAATATGATTATCAATGGAGTTTATTTTTTTTACTTTTAGAAGTCCCGGCAGCCTTACTCGAGTAGAAATAAAGGCCTGTTACTTATAAATTGTATTTCTAATTAAAATCTTATTTTTCTTTTTTTAATTTCAGTTTTTTTTAAATTTTAGTTAATCTATCTTTTTTATTTCGAATTTTGATTAATCTCGCATTGGGTTCTTATATGAAAACTTCTTTCAATATTGCTTATTTTTAATTCCAAATTTCAGCTAATTTTAAATTATATTCCTACTTGAACTCTTCTTTTATTTTTTTTTTGCTAATTTCAGATTTATTTATTTTTATTACGAATTTTAATTAATCTCGTATTGGGTTCTTATATGGACTCTCTTTTTAATATTCTTATTTTTAATTCTGAATTTCAGCTATTTTTAAATTGTATTCCTACTTGTACTCTCATTTCCTTTCCTAATTTTAGATTTTATTTTATTTTTATTTTGAATTTTTATTAATCTCGTATTGGGTTCTTATATAGAAACTTCTTTCAATATTGCTTATTTTTAATTCCGAATTTCAGTTATTTTAAATTGTATTTCTACTTGGACTCTCCTTTCCTTTTCTAATTTTGGATTTTATTTTATTTTTATTTCGAATTTTAATTAATCTCATATTGGGTTCTTATATGAAAACTTCTTTCAATATTGCTTATTTTTAATTCCGAATTTCAGCTATTTTTAAATTATACTTCTACTTGGACTCTCCTTTTCTTTTTTTTATTTTTCTCCGATTAATGTGGGAATTTCTAGCCTCCACAACGAATGTGGTGCCTCCTTTCAAAGTTGTTTTAATAATATAATAGATAGATAGATACTGTAGGGTCCTACGTATAAGAATCACTATCTAAGATATATATATTTGATCAATTAAAAAAAAGGTGATAGCAGGATGGTAAAAATTATATATTTATGAGCAATTAAAGTTTCTCAAGATTTTTTTAAAAATACAATGAATATTCAATTAAGAAGGGAAATACCTCACTTTAATTTAAACTTATTTGTTAGACCTGTTTTCGAAACGAAATAAAAACATGCCCGTGCAAATGCGCGGGCTACCTTTCTAGTTGTAAAAACGATAGAATGCTTTGGATTGAAATATTGTGAAATTGATTTGAGAATGATGATTTAGCATGTGGATGTTGAATTTTAGATGGAAATAAATTGTGGATATAATTACTATATGCTTGCATATTGAACCTTATGTGTTTAGTGGGTTCATGTGGCATGTTTATGTTTTAGGTTTCAGAAGTACAAATAAATATTATGTTTGTATGTTGAACTTTATATGTTTAGTGGGTTAGAACTCTATAGAATGTTTATTTTTTTTACGACACACTCAGCTAAAGCCAACCAATGTGACCCTCGTGTTACACTAAATTTATGCCTAAGTTGCAGCTTTTCACATTGCAAAAGTATAGCCGATGATTAATAAAAAATGAAAGGAAAATCAAGCGACTGACAAATAGCAAAATTGATTTAATCAGGTACCTCATTGTGATTGACGATGTATGGACCATATCATCTTGGGAGGCAATACTAACAAGAATACCAGATAACAAATGCAGTAGCAGAATAATTGTGACCACTCGGATAGAGCATGTTGCGAGGGCATGCAGCCCAGCTAGCCCTGGGGAAGACTACATCCATCGAATTAAACCCCTTGGATCCGAAGACGCGAAGGAATTGTTTGTTAACAGGGTATTTGGCCCTCAGAAAGATTGCCCGGAGCAGTTTGAAGAAATAATGTACAAGATACTAACAAAATGCAGTGGACTACCGTTGGCTATTGTCTGCATTGCCAGCCTTCTGGGGAGCTATACGTCACCGGGAGGAGTAGAGGTGTGGACGAGAGTTTGCAACTCAACTGGCTCTCTCATGGAGAACAATCCCACATTGGACGGAATGAGACAGATATTAACACTTAGCTACAACCACCTGCCTCATCATCTCAAGGCTTGCATAATGTATCTCAGCACTTTCCCAGAGGACTATGCAATTAGCAGGGATCGTCTGGTCCAAAAATGGATGGCTGAAGGATTGATCCCCGAGATGCGGGGGCTAACTTCCGCTGAGGTAGCAGAAGCCTACTTTGATGAGCTGCTGAGTAGAAATATGACAACAACAGTCTCGTATTCAAATGATGGGAAGCCAAATAGTTGCAGTGTGCACGACATGATGCTTGAGGTTATTGTGTCCAAGGCTCTGGAGTCCAACTTTGTTAGCTTGGTAGGAGGTCAATGTGGAAGCATGCCGTATAGCAGTGTTCGTCGTCTGTCCATCCAAAACGACGACATAGGGTCTGGGATCGACAATACAAACTTGAGGCACGTCCGGTCACTGACTGTTTTTCGTCCCGAGGGTCATCGAAAGTTGCTGGATAGATTAGCGGAGTTCTCTCTACTAAGGATGCTTGATCTAGAAGGTTGCAAGGACTTGCGGAACAAGCATATGAAGCACATCTGCCGGTTGTTCCTACTCAAATTCTTGTCCTTGACTGACACAGATATCACAAAATTGCCAAGCCAGATAAACAAGCTGCAACATTTGCAGACACTTTGGTTATTTAACACATTGCTTGACAAGGTCCCAGAATCCTTGGTTGATCTAGAGAATCTTAAACAAGTGGGTTTCTCAAACCGGCAAGACTGGAGGAAACTCCTGAGGCTACCCCAACACATTAGTAAAATGAAGGCCATAGAAGAGTTAACTAGGTTCGAACTCTTAAGTGAGGATGCTCAACTCGCCATGGAGATTGGCGACCTTGTACATCTACAATTTCTCAATGTCGTCCTCAATTGCTTTGACTGCTCTGATGGGCAGCTTCTCACCGAGCTCGCAAAATCCATAGGAAGGTGCTCCCTCTATAGATTGAAAGTCGAGGACATGATGCCTGATTCAAACAACATGAACTTTCTCCTCAACCTCCCCTCACCACCAAAGTTACTCCGATACCTCTGCATCGGTGGTACCATCGACAGAATTCCAGGTTGGGTGCAGTCACTCACTCACCTTGTCCATGTTGAGTTTTGGTGGATATACCTTCCCAGCGACGAAATATACGGTGCCCTGTACAAGCTGCCTAGCCTGACAAAGATCAGCTTGGATAGGTGGTGCTGCAGCGAAGATGAGCTGGTGGCGCGCACCGACTTCAAGTTCCCGCTGCTCAAGGTGCTGTCCTTTGTTCCAGATGAAGGTACGCCACAAGTTGTCCGGTTTGAGGAAGGAGCCATGCCAAAGCTGGAGACCCTGGTCATGTATTTCCATGACAAGAAAAGGTCCCTTGAAGGTGTTGAGCACTTGACCAGCCTTAAGGATGTCCGGGTCCGTGGTTCCAGGGATAACCATGAAATGGGAACGGCAGTGATCCAGCTGAAGGAGGAGAACGCAAGACGCCACAGCTCAAATCAGTTCAAAGTTATAGTGGAGTACGAGTGATCTGCTTGTTCGGATTGTGATGCTGCTTATTTGGTGTGTTTCTTTGCTATTCCCTTTTCCCCGATTTGCTTTCCAGTTTGTCTGTTTGGTCAAAGCACGATCGACTCTGCTTTGATTGATTCCACGAGTAATGAAGAGAAACCCAGAAAATGCTGTGCAGTTTTGGCAGCACAAAATTGCCCTGCGTTTTTCCTGCTCTGTTTCGTCCTCTGTTCTTGAGCTCCAGGTGTTCGTCCACGTTGTTCGTGAGTGCTGATAAACTTTTACCAGTAGAGATAACATGGTCAATGTGATGTCGGATTTACATGTCTTCGAACTTAATGATGTACTCTATCTAAAGAATTGGTTTGGGCTTTATTGGTTTTGTTTTAATGTGATCTTTTATGTAACAACACAGTTCAGTTGACGCCTGGAGCCTGTTTGTGTACTGGACATGCATTTCATGTGTATCTGATGTTTCTTTCGCTATCCTTCCAAGATTTTTCTCTTGCTACATTTTAAGAGATAGTAACTGAGTATATAGTTTCTGATACCAGTCAATCTACAACAGAGAAGAGACTTATGCCGTTATGCGGAGGATAACCTAACCACAAGAATGATCACATAAGATTTATCTCCAACAGATTGGTGTGCGTGTTTGGTCTCTGGATCATACCTTTGTAACAAGAGATTTTTTATGGAACAACGGTACCGTGCGGTACCAAATGCTGGCCGTTGGATCTGCTGGTATTGTTTGCTACCATGAGGTAACAAAATTGTCCCTGATGCGGTATCTCTCGGAGAACAGAGTTGAAAGGGTAAAAACGTAACTTCGCGTGCAATAGATGGATTGGGAGGGATGGATCGGGAGGAATCAAACCCTAGAATAGACGGTCGGCGCCGGGATTCCTGGATCGATGCCGCCGCCGACTCCTGGAGGTGAACTCAGCCGCCGCCGCTGCCGGGAACGACAACATCGACGCCGCAGCAGGACGACTTGAGCTCCGCCGCCACCAGCAGCAGTCCGCACATTTTTCTCTCCCGATCCTACCCATGCCGAAATGAACGGTTAAATGCGTACTGGTACCGAGCAGTACCAGTAACGACCGGTACAATTTGCTGGGCCATAAAGACGCTCTTATAACAAAGTACCGGTCTCTGGATCATAAAGTGGCTTACATAATACTATCCTCCCAACATCTAGGAGATCTACATATTATTTTGGGTATTTTGGGTGTTGAGCATGTCAGTTTCTTTTTCACTTTTAGGATATCTACATAAGTTTACCTGAAGGCAGGCTCGACAAACTCACTTTGCTCATACTTGGAATAAGTCTATTTTGCCTCCCTTATCTCCTTAGGCCGCGTTTATATGGCTAGGATAAGTCTATATTCCTCCCTCATCTTTTTAGGTTGTGCCTTTATATGGCTGAAATAAGTCTAATTTGCCTCCCTTGTCTTTTTAGGTTGGCCTTTATATGGCTGGAATAAGTCTGTTTGCCTCCCTCGTCTCTTTGAGCCGGTTGCCGACGGGCTATGGCCTGCGGGAGCGTTGACCGTAGCCTGCGGGAGCGTTGACCGTAACACACGGTAACGACGTTACCGGGTGCTAGGGCACGGGAACAGATACTCGGCAGCTTCATCAGTTTACCATGTGCATTTCCCGGGTGTATTACGATTATGCGCACGAGAAGGCCAAAACACATACCGTGTGTGCTGAATCACACGGTAAGGCTGCCGTCGTAGCTAGACACTTGTGTAACGGAGCTCCTAACGGAACGGTGGCTTACCGAGTGTCCTTCACACACGGTAACATTTGATGTGTTACCGTGTTTCGTTCACACCCGGTAACATGTGGTGCGTTACTGTGTTTGAAGCACCCGGTAAGAACATGTGTTAATAAAAAAAAATATATGCTATTTGCAATTTGTTTACTATATCCATCAGAGCTTATTTCCATCACAATATAAACCACCAACAAGCACACAAGAGCACAACACATTCCAACATAAATATATATTTCAGTAAAGAGGTTACAATTAATAATTAGCATACAAGCAATTCATGGTTCATGACAGTTAAAGCAATAACCAAAGTTACAATAGCTAGGAACATATTATTTGGTTGATCAATCAATAACAGAAAGATGATATTAATAGATGGTACAGATCCTGAAGTTGATGCTTGAATGTATAATTAAACCTGCAATTGTGATAAGCTTGTAAGAAACTGGAAGATCAATATAGCTAGAAACTGAATTAATATCAAGATTGGACTATATTACATGCTAAACCAAAACATAGTACAATTAATGGGAAAGAAGACCAAATGCTCAATTATATAGATCGAAATAAGAACATGAGCATATTTGGATCAACCTAGCAAAAATATAGGACTGGATCTTCAGGAACAGAGGCCACCATTTAGTGCATAAACAACTACTGCATCACAAAAGGTACTAGTGAAATTATGCAGGTAGTTTACCATGAGCAATTTTTTTCGCTAGGTACTTTTACCAGTAGCAATGCTCTAATATAAGCCAAATTAAGCCACACATTACTATATCTCTGATTTCTCATTATCTCAATATGGTCAAGAGCAGTCAACAATGTAACTTTAGCAACTTTTTAGAATGTCAATAAAAAAGGCACAATGACACTGAAAAGAGCATAAATGAAAAAGGAAAAGTAAATACTTTAGTCTTGAGATTGCAAAGAAGTTTGTATAGCAATCATTACCAGCACAGATGCTTCACTCCTATTCATGGATGTTCTGAAAAACACAATGTTTGAACCTAAAATCAGGTAGTAAGATTATTTTCTTACTGAAGTTTGTAAGATTATAAGGTAGACAGTGCCACCAATGTAGATTAAACTACAAAGACACTGAGAGTACAGTTCACTGGGATGCTCACATCTTAATTAGGAACTGGGAAGCCAACATTTCTATAACTGTAATCCGTTCTTTGCTGCAGTTTGAATCTAAAGAATCTACAGAGACACAGGAATTAGACCAATTTGTTTCATGCACAACAGAATGAATGAGCCTTTTGTTTTGATGCCTCAAAACCATGAGGTCTCTTTAGAAGCCAAATCACAGTTTAAACTCTTTTCGATCACAATATCCTTATACTCTACAAAAAAGAGGAACAGGAAGATGACTCTGAATTTTATTGACATCGAGTAGAACTAAGCCTGATGGCACTTCTCAATGACTCTGAAGTTTTTAATACAAATAAAAGGGAGAACCACAAAATATAGTGATAGGGATTACTTTAGTAACTGCAGGCAGATGCAACTTTGACAATTGCCTATATCGTCTAAAATGAATATAAAGGCAATAATTAACGCATCATCTACCTGTTGCTCTTCCTGCATCTGCATTTTCTGTTTTATCTCTTAGTTCTTGTCATGTATTTCTTCAGCTCCATCCTGAGCAGCCTGACCAAAGTAAAAAAAATCCATCTTTTCCACTTACAAAGTCCCAGAACATGTGCATATCGCTTCAGATCATTCAAGCTTATCAAGATTGAAGGATAATTGAAGCTTACTTATGGAAGCACTTCATTGTTGCACTCCTAATGTGGGCTGCACATTTCGCCAACCAACCATTAAGTATTTGCAGGATTGCTGCGTGACCTGCATATAGCAACTAAATAAAATTCGGTTGAAGGTGCACATGGAGGCCAGGAAATTCAGAAACAAGAAAAAGTGCATTTTATGCCAGGAAATTCTCCAGCATGTTGCCGCCATCAACGGGAACTCCCGAGCCCCGTCACATCCTCTTCGTTGCTGTTGTGGTGGATGCAGCACGTAGCCATGAACTGGAGCTCCAGATCTGGAAGTCCCCAACTCGATGAAGCCTAGATCTGGCCGGATCCGGAAGGGGGAGGAAGAGCTGGCAGCAATGGTGATTTGGGAGAGGAAGATACTGGGGGAGGCCTCCCCTCCTTGGCCTCTCCACTCCACCAAGCTCAGGGGAGCCAGATGCCATGGCCATAGCTTCTATTGGCTGGATCTGGCCGAATGCAGAGAAAGGGGTGGGAGAGGGGACAGCGATGGAGCTTTGGAGAGGGAGAGGATGAAGAGAAGACGCCAGCCAAGGAAGGTGGAGGCGCGCCTCTCCACCGCGTCGAGCTCGAGGATGGGGGGCGATGGCGCAGGAGAGATGGCGGAGGCGTTGCCGCTACACAATATGAAAGGGGGGTGGCGGCGGTTCAGTGGAGAACAGGGCGCGCCTCAGCGGTGGCCGGCTAGGGTTGAAGTGTTCTATATATAGCCAAATCTGACAACGAATCTAAGCCGTCCGATTTAGATCCATTCGACCACAGTTTACAAGCAGTTTTACTTGGAAAATTATCTGTACAAATCACTTTGGTGAGAAATTAAATTTTCTAATTATATATAATTGCTATTAAAAACTTAGTTTATATACATTTTTCTATATATTTTTTTAACAGTTTGAATTTGAATTTGAAAATATGACAACTTCAAACAACATTTTCAAATACTAAATGATTTCAACTGAAAAAGTCATCAACAACAAAGTTGTATAACTCATCAATATCTATAACTTTTATTTTGGTCATTTTTCTATATAACTTTTTTTTTAACATGAATTTGAAAATATGACAACTTCAAACAACATTTTCAAATACTAAATGATTTCAACTGAAAAATTCGTCAACAACAAAGTTGTATAACTCATCAATATCTATAACTTTTATTTTGTTCATTTTTCTATATAACATTTTTTGAACCGTTTGAATTTGAATTTAAAAATTTGACAACTTCAAACAATATTTTCAAATACTAAATGATTTCAACTGAAAAAGTCATCAACAACAAAGTCGTATAACTAACCAATATCTATAACTTTTATTTTAGTCATTTTTCTATATAACTTTTTTTTGAATAGTTTGAATTTGAATTTAAAAATATGACAACTTCAAACAACATTTTCAAATACTAAATGATTTCAACTGAAAAAGTCATCAACAACAAAGTCGTATAATTCACCAAGATCTATAACTTTTATGTTTGTCATTTTTTCATCCGACAAAGTGTTACTAACATTGTTCACAAAATTCACAAATATGTGTTATAGTTTATAAACCAGATGAGAGATATGTGAATTTTGTGAACAATGTTACTATCACTTTTTCGGATGAAGAAATGACCAAAATAAAAGTTATAGATATTGATGAGTTATACAACTTTGTTGTTGATAACTTTTTCAGTTGAAATCATTTAGTATTTGAAAATATTGTTTGAAGTTATCATATTTTCAAATTCAAATTCAAACTATTCAAAAAAATATTATATTAAAAATGACAAAAATAAAAATTATAGATATTGACGATTTATACAACTTTGTTGTTGATGACTTTTTCAGTTGAAATCATTTAGTATTTGAAAATGTTGTTTGAAATTGTCATATTTTCAAATTCAAATTCAAACTGTTAAAAAAATGTTATATAGAAAAAAGACCAAAGTAAAAGTTATAGATCTTGATGAGTTACACAACTTTGTTGTTGACAACTTTTCCATTTAAAATCATTTACTACCCGAAAAAAATATTTGAATTTCTTATATTTTAACAAATCTTTAAATTTTTCTGCAAAATTATAGATCTCGTATAGCTCTCTATTTTAATATAGAACACGTATTCATCGGAGATCATTGCGAAAACTCAAAACATAATTTCAAAAATAGATCTGAGAGAAAAAAATAAATATTTAAACCCATAAACAATCTCAAATGAAAAACCTTTCATCTAAATAGTTCTAGATCTCATTAAGGGCTACAATTTTCATATAAAATTTATCTCGATCCGACTTCGTATGAAGGTGTTACGATTTTTCACTCCATTAAGCACCAACGAAATATAGTTAGTTGTGCGAAAAAAAAAAAGAAATCTGTTGGCGGCATCAGGAGCACCGTGGGCGCCAACCACGGAATTCGCCCGCGCCAACCACGAAATTCGTCAGCGCCAACGGAAGCTCAGGGCGCGAAAACGGAAGTTGGATGGATTTCTGGTTCAGCAGCAACGTTACCGTGTGCAGCACGTTCACGCACGGTATATTCCCTCGTTACCGTGTGTTCGTATTTTGCACAAGGTATGGCCGGGATGTTACCGTGTTCCTGTGATGCGCACGGTAACTTACCGTGTGTTTCGTAAAACACACGGTAACATTTGGCAACACGGGAGCTTTCCCATCTCCAGTAGTGGTTGGGCTGGTACAAGTCCGACAACGTCAAGCCATGCTGTGCCTGGGTCGGGCCAAAACTTCGTGCCATAGACCGGATTGTCGGGCTGTGGGACTTTTGGCCAACTATAGTAGATGGCAACAACGGCCAACTGGACAATCGGTCAGCAAGGAGTAACCATCAGACTCAGGAACAATGAAAGTCCGAGGCTGGTTTGACCGCCGTTGACTCCGGTCCAACCGTTGTTAGATTCCCTCAGCATGACACTGGAGGGGCGGGTTGTGTACATCTTTTGGTGTATAGGCCGGGTTTTAATGCACTTTCTAAAAAAATGAGGCTAGAGGGGCATAAGTTCGAAAATAGCAACCCTTGCTTGAGTTTAGAAATACCTATAGATAGAAAGCAAGGTTAGGTGCATAAGCATGTCAGCCTCACTCTCCTCTTCTTCCTCTTTCTCCCCCCCTTTCCTTCTCTTTCCTTCTTTTCCCGTTTCCTTCCTTCCCGTTGACCACGCTGATTACAGCGGCGGTCGACGCATGGCGCGCGGTGGCTCGGCGCTGGGCACAGACGACGTGGGGAGGCAGGAAGGCGAAAGGTGGCATGGCAGCGTCTGTGCTCCCCCAACGCCGACGTTCACCGAGGTGCTCTCCCTCTCCCCGCCGAGGCAGGAAGGCGGAAGGCGGCAAGCGACGGCGACAATGGCTTGAGGGGTGGCGGGGAACTCGGGGTAGGGATGGCGACGGTGACTGCGCAGAGGCTAGCGACAGTGGTTGTGGCTCACGACGACGACCCGGGGCGTGGAGCGGAGGCGGCGGAGGTCGTGCGGCTGGCCGAATCCGCCGAGGGCGGCGAGGCTCGGTGAAGCTGGTAGCAGCGAGGAGTACGGTACCAGCCGTCGCGCGAACGGGTCGTTGTTGCGTCGCCATCCCTCGCCACGGCGGCGCTCAAAGCCGATGGCGGTTGTGGGGCCCATCGTTTGGCGAGGCGTTTTGGTTGGCCAACTCTAGCCAGCCAGCCAGCGAGTTTGGCCAGCCGGATGGCTAGTCTGTTCGAACTCTTTTTTGTGCTTGAATAGCCAAAATTTGGCTTGGAAAGGCTGTTTGAAATGCTCTTATACATCCACCACCGGCAACAAAGCTCAATGAGTTATCAGCACTAAACCGTGGATGATGTCCCACAGATTCAAGTGTTGAGGTGATCATCGTGGTTCTTGCTACCGATACAAGTTGCTATATAAGTTTAAGCGTTAATTGAAGTTGACCGATGAATTCTGCTCTTGATGTAATATCAAATGAAAAGAAAAAAGCGTAAGCTAGCTTTCAGAGTTCATGTAGAGAGCATATCGTAGAAGGCCTCAGGATTTAGTATAGCACTAGTAGGTACAGCAGTTGCCTTCAATAATGATTTGATTAGCATAGATATATGCTCAAGTTTTGTCCGGAAACAATACGGATGAACAGAGCCCAGAGCCTCAGACCCTCTTGGCCGAACAGCCGCTTCCAAGGCTCTTAATTAACCACCTAATTCGCAAATTAAGCTCGTTTGACTTTGCGAGAATGGAGAGTGCGGCGGCGAGCCATGCAGGTGGCCTTGTGGCGAGGCTTGGGCAGCTGGTGACAGCGGAATTCCGGCTACTCAGCGGCGTCCGCGGCGAGGTCGATCGTCTGAGGGACGAGGTGGCCATCATCAACGCCGATCTCCGCCGGCTCTCCGAGGCCGACGAGAGCGCCGTGGACCACTCGGTACGGGAGTGGATGAAGCAGGCGCGCGAGCTCGCCTACGACGCCGAGGACTGCATCGACCTCTTCTTCTTCCTCCGCATCAGCCTCGCCCCGCCGCGCGCCGGTGCTCTCCACCGCGCCTGTCGCTGGTTTCTCACCATCCGCCCGCGGGCGCGGCACCGCCTCGCCATCGACATCCAGGACGCTCGCGCCCGTGCCGGCCGTCTCGCCATCCGCCTGCATCAGCAGCCGCGGCACGACCGCAACTTCGTCGTCGACACGGCACTGCCCCGTTCCGTGTGGTTCGTCCCAGCTTCGACTACGCCCTCCACCGCGCTTAGCAAGCTGGTCGGCGTCGACGACCAGGTGCAGCATTTGTCCGATCTGGTGAAGTCGGATCAGAAGCTGACGAGTGACAATCAGCGTGACGTGAGTCTCAAGGTGTTCTGCATCGTGGGGTTCGCGGGGCTCGGGAAGACGACGCTTGCCATGGAGGTTTGCAGGAGCCTGGAGGAGGAGTTTGCCTGCCAGGCAATGGTGCCGGTGTCTCAGGTGTTCGACGCCGGCAAGGACCTCGGCAGACTGCTCAAGCAGATAATTAAGAAGGTCGTGAGGGTTACAAGCGGAAGGGGGCTGCAAGAAGAGCAGGAATTGCATAACATCGACGAAGATGACGTGGACGAGCTAGCGATGATGCTCGGAGATTGTCTCGATGGCAAGAGGTACACGCACCACCCGTTCCTACTTGCTCGTCTTAACCAATTATAACCATTTCGTATCTCAACGAGGGCTGTTCGGCTGGCTGGGCTGATCACAAACAATTGTGCACAAAGTTGTGGCGGGTTGCATGCAACAGCCGCAGCTGTAGCGTAGCTACCGAACAGCCCCATTAATTTCTACTAAAAATGCTTATATATATATATATATATATATATATATATACAAATATTCCCTATATATATATATATATATATATATATATATATATATATATATATAGGGAATATTTGTTAGTTGACTGATTTTTTTTATCCGTCAATCATCTGAACTTAGGAAGCACATAATCTAAACTTGCACAATTATTTATTTGTTGTTTGTAAAAAGAATACTACAAGAAGTCATATCTCATGATATTTTATAAGAAAATAGATTGTAATTCTAAAAGAAAGAAATATTTTTATCATGAACTAGCACTACTACAACAAAGATTTTTGCGTGCGGTCGATTTTGATTTTTCCGTGCGGATGGTCGGCCCGCACGCACCCAGGGGTGTGGGAAAATCGTAATTTTCGCGTGCGGGCGCTTAAGTCGCCCGCGTGAGAAAATAAAAAATCGAAAAAAAGAAAAAAAAAACCCTCATCCGCCGCCGCTGTCCTAGCCGAGGCCCGCCGCCATCGTCCCCACGGTCGCCGGCTACGGATCCGCCGCCCGCTCCCGTCGCCGGCGCCGGATCCATAGTCGCCGACCGAAGACGCCCCTCCCCTCCATTGGATCTGCAAGGGGAGGGGAGGGGCATCAAATCACATCGATCGTCGACGCCACTGTCGCACCTCCATGCCGGCCGCTAATGCCACCGCACCTCCAGATCCGGCGCGGGCCGCCTCGATCCCACCGCCTCCCTCCACCGGATCTGCAAGGGGAGGGAGGGGAGGGACCACGCGCCGCCGGATCTGCAAGGGGAGGGAGGAGGGGCCGCGCACCGCCGTGGTCGCTCTCCACCGCCGTTGTCGCCGCCCTTCTTCCTACCCACAGCCGAGGGAGAGGGAGGGAGGGGCCGAGCGCCGCCGTGGTCACCCGCTGCCGTCACTGTTGCCGCCCTTTTTCCCGCCCGCAGCCGAGGGAGAGGGAGGGAGGGGTCGAGCACCGCCGCTGTATCGCCTGCCGCCGCTTGCTGTCGCCGTCGGCCGGCCGAGAGAGGAGAGGAGTGGGAGGAGAGGAGTGGAGTGGGAGAGAGGGAGAGAGTGAGGTGGGAGAGAGGGAGGTAGTGGGCATTGGGCGGAGGGGAGAGGGGCGCGAAGGGTGGGCTATTTTCACTAAAATAGTGTTAACAGGCCCACACGCGAAAATAAGCCTGTTAACTGACCCGCACACGAAAATTGATTTTCCTGTGTGGGCGATGGCCTAGCGTCGGTCCCCCATTTTCCTACGCGGTTAAACATATGGTCCGTCTGGAAACAAAAGGGTTTGGCGTCAGGAAAATCTTTCCTGTAGTAGTGTAGACCATAGACTTTGTCATACTAAATGATAATTCTATCATATTCAAACAAAAATTACTTTTTCTCGGTTATATGTGAACTCGCCTATCACCATTCTTCCAAACATACGAGTTAATATGGGTTTTGATTTTTTTTCAGTTATACATCCGATTCACCTATGCATGTTCATGGATAGTATACGATGAAATAATCTATATTGTAAAAATTATTTGTGCTAATTATTATCACTATTTAAATGAGAATGACATAATTAAAAGGGATATAATATGGTTCCATGTGATATTTTTGATTGTACGTATGTATGTTTTTTCTAGCGAATAGTAGTCTCTCATATGTACTTTTTTTTGGATAAATATTTTTCTCTCATAAGGTAGGTGTGTGTGTGTATTTATACGATGGATGTGCATACGTTTATGTGGGTGCTCGCAATTCCCTTTTATATACTTAGTAAAAAAAATTACTTTGAAGAGATTTGGTGGGATGGCGTGAAGCACCACTGCGGCGGGCGTGGCTTTTTCGACAACCTCACCAAGAGTGGTTGCTACATATATGCATAATTTGAGAAAAACCTTAGAGTTGTAAAAAAAAGAAAGAGAAAACTACTCATTGATCGTATGCACACTTCTTCTTCTTCTCGTGTACGTGCGGGAGGGATGGATTAGCCGATATTTAGGAGCGGGGGATTAGTTGATAGATATATTCTAATGGTTAATAATAATGGAGCCACCAGTATAAGTGTAAATCAATGGCTAGGCTAGATGTTTTTTCTTTTTTCTTATAATTTTTCTTTCATTTTCCCTATTTTATTAGAGCGTCTTGTGGCATCTTAGGAGTATATGCAGCTGTGTAGGAACACTATTAATAATAGCCATAATCTACTTGTAGCCAACTATTGTTTTATGTGGCTCAGTGTATCTCTACTTACCTATCATTTATTTATGGTTGCTCACTTAGTACGTCCTTTATCTTTGGTACTTGATGACACACGTGCTCACTGGATATAAGCTAATTATTAGCTGCACTGTGCATGGATGCATCGTAACCAATATGACTCGGCGATTGGTGAATAGTGATTTCTATATAGAACTTATATACATGGGATTAGTGGGAACATACTATTGATATATTTGGGTATTCCTGATTGACCAAGTATATTATATTACTACATATTAAACGTTTTAGTACATAAGATTGACTTCTAAAGTGCTTATCTGATTGGCTACTTTGTTATTTATGGTGAGCATGTTTTCCGAACTAAACGGTATGTGTTTTGTGGATACTTTGTATACAAAAGATTTTTTAAAAATCAAATAAACCCATTTTCATGTTTGTAATATTTAATATTTAGTTAATCTTTTGTTGATGACGTGTGTCATTTCACGTGCCCTAGATAAGCTCAGCCAACGATCTAGATCGATTGAAGATTAAGTAGGAGATAAAGTACATCGATACGATGTCGTCAAAAGAATATGTTTCGACGTTAATTTTCTAATTACATATGAAGAAAAAAGCATGATACATGAAAATATATTCTAGATAAATTTAGTAACACTACTACAGGATAGATTTTTCTGGACGCGCCCCCTCCCCCCATTTGTTTTCATGCGGTTCGTAAGTGGAACCGCATGGAAAAATATGGGACAGGCTCCAGTATTTTTTAGCATATCAGTATTTTTTTGACATATCAGTATTTTTTAATTAGGTAGTGAGTAAATTTTGACATATCAGTATTTTTTTTGACATGTCAGTATTTTTTAATTAGGTAGTGAGTAAATTTTGACATATCAGTATTTTTTAATTAGGTAGTGAGTAAATTTTGAGAATGATACTCACAGTTGAAGTTGTTTTATTTTCGAAAATACAAATCTAATATAACTATATATGTTCTTAAGTGATACTTCCTCCATCCTAAAATGTTTGACGTCGTTGACTTTTTTAAACATGTTTGACCGTTCGTCTTATTTAAAAAATTTAAGTAATTATTAATTCTTTTCCTATCATTTGATTTATTGTTAAATATACTTTTATGTATACATATAGTTTTACACATTTCACAAAAGTTTTTGAATAAGACAAACGATCAAACATGTTTAAAAAAGTCAACGGCGTCAAACATTTAGGGAAGGAGGAAGTATATCTATAACTTTACTTTATTTATATTTTTCATGGATGTTTCAATGAGATGCAACTAGCTAGAACATATCTTGAAATAGCATATAATTTTACAAAGTATAGTTAAGATGTGCTTCAATTATATTAGATGGTTTTTCAACTGAGTGAGAAATAAAAAAAAGGAAAGAGAAGTACGTACAGTTTTTTTTTGGTCGGGGGTGGGTTTCGGGATACATATGTACGTAGATACGGAGAGATGTGGGCCTTTTAAGATATAAAAGATATAAATTTGATTGTAAATTTTGAAGATAGATCTAATAGGTAAAAATAATGGGTCCACCAGATTAAATAAAAATCGACAGTTGGATGTTTTATTTTTTTAGAATTCCTAGGATTTATTAGAGTGCCACATGGTGAACTAGGAGCATTTATAGGAGTGCCATGTGATGACTTAGAGGCTGTAGAAATTTATAATAGATGCGCTCCAAGTTTTATATTTCTCGTGCATTAACCAATAGTACTCGGTCCATCCAAATTTGATCATCATATTTAGAAATGGTGTCGAGACCAATACAAGAAAACATCATTCCTTAAACTAAGTCTCATTGGTTAAGGTGATGTGTTAGGCATGCAACAATGCCATTTACTCTTTTACAGATAAATGAATAGACATGCAACGATGAAATTTACTCATGCATACATAAACAAACAGACATGCAATAATGTCATTCACTTCTGTACAACTAAACGAATAGATAATGTCAGATGATGATGAATTTATAAAGACCTAAAAATCTTAGGAATCATCAAAAATAGAAATGGAGGGAGTATATGTTATTATGCTCATTAAGATCGCATTTTGGTTTCTCCATTCATGAACGCGCAAAAAAAATTACACATATATTAAAAGAAAAGTCATAGAATTGTGACACGTCAAAGTGGTCACTGTGGGAGAAGGCGGGGAAACAGCTCGACAAACAAGAAACTAGGCTTTTTCCTTAGAGTTCTCAACTCATCTCTCTCGTTTTCTACGTACACACGCTTTTCAAACTGCTAAACGGTACATATTTTATAAAAAGTTTATATAGGAAAGTTGCTTTAAAAAAATCATATTAATCTATTTTTTTAATTTTTTTAGCTAATACTTAATTAATCATGCGTTAATCTATCGTTCCATTTTACGTGCGGAGGGGAGGGGTTCCCAACACCTCCAAAATAACACAGCCTAAACCTTGTGAACTCCTAAGCTGAGATCGAAACGAGAAGGTAAAGGCTATGTTATGTGCCTAACAACACCCCCAATAGGATTAGAAGTTGACTCCAGCAATTGCCACCCTTTTTACACAATCCGCTCCATCACCATCGGCACCTGCAACAGAATGCCATCAAAAGCATGAGTGTCCCTTTCCTACCACAAGTGCCAAGTTACTATGATGACGAGGGAGTCACCTAGGTTTCCAGCATTTTTAGTAATTTTGCATAGTATAAAAGCGAGCTTTTATATTGATACTTGAACTTTCGCTTAAAGATCAATTTAGTCCTTGACATTTTGTATTGTCCAAACAAGTCCCTAAAGTCCATTGTGCGATTTAATATAGTCCTTAGACCCTCTAAAAATGCCATGTGTACATGCCACATCATCTATGCATGCAAATTCAATATTTAAATGTCCATTCTACCCTTACGTTTTTATAGGAAATAAAGAAAAACTATTGAGAAAAAACAAAAAGAAAAGGTTTTGGCCATTAGAAAACGATGTAGCATTGGTAACTACAAAAATTTGGCATTTTCCTTTGTTTTATGATTGCTTCTTCTTGTTTTTCTCTTTGTTTTTTGTGTAAAAAATGTAAGGTTAAAATGGACATTTAAATGTTAACTTTACATGCATGAATGATGTGGCATGTCCACGTGGCATTTTAAGTGCGTCAAGGACTATATTAAGCCGCGTGATAATTCTTAGGGACTTGTTTGGACATTATAAAACATGAGAAAATTCCTTGTGTACACCTCAAAACTCTCTCAATCTCTTATATGCACCCGAAAAATACCGAATCCCTTGTGTGCCCTCGAAAATTTATTTGGAACCCTTGCGTACCCATCCCGTCAAGTCTCTGTCAGTTTAGATGTTAATTTGCTTAGAAATGTCCATTATGCCATTTGAGAATAGAGGGCATGCATGGAATTTGATTATAGTTGGCTGATTAGAGAGCTTGCTATATATTAAATATTTTTTTTGTATGACGTGTGCTATCATAAATAATTAGTGGATATAAAATTTAAAATATTTGTTTTAAAAAAATTAGTACATTGCAATTTTAAAAATAAATATGTGGCTATAACTAGCTGAAAATACTAAGATTAGTATCTTAATATTTTCAGCTAGCTATATCCACTTATTTATTTTCAAAATTGCAGTGTACTAACTTTTCTCAAAGTTTATTTTAAATTTTCTATCAACTGATTATTTAGTATCATAAAGCACACATCATGCAAAAAAAAATATTCAACATATAGGCAGCTCTCTAATTAGCCAACTATGATCAAATTTCATATCCACCATTCTCAAAGGGCATAATGGACATTTCTAAGAAAATTAACATCTAAACTGACAGAAACTTGACGGGAGGGGTACGCAAGGGTTCCAAACAAATTTTCGAGGGCACACAAGGGATTCAGTATTTTTCAGGTGCATAGAAGGGATTGAGAGAGTTCTGAGATGTACATAAGGAATTTTCTCATAAAACATCATGGACTAATTCGATCTCTGAGCAAAAGTTGAAGGACTAAATTGGCTATTCACCTATATATTTATGTACTCAAAGAAAGCAGTATCTCGCTCATGATTCACACAATTAATCAGGGATCATACATTGGTCAAGTGATTGGTTTTTCTTATCTATTAATCTTATTTTAGTTATCTAGTATATCAACACTCGACAGCTCACACATGCATGTCCATCAACGTATAATGATGTAATTTCGATCATTTTATAGAAAAGAAAATTATACTCCATGCACCCCATACTATAAGATGCGCACACATTTTAAGTCTCAACTCTTTCAACCAATAACTAATCTAATACATATGAATTAAATTTTATTTGATGAAAGTAATAACATTTGATTGTCATTTAAATATGCTATCTCATATTATTATAATTTTGTTGCTACAATAAAGGTTTTTTTTAAGAGAAAGGCCCAAAGGCCCGGCTTCTATTGAAAGCCTGGGGGGGTTTCTGGGAATTGCTACAATAAATGTTGTTTATCATAAATTAAAAATCAAAAATTAGTTTTAGAGAGAGCGGCAAGTCTGACTACACCTTATATAGTGGGACGGAGGATGTACGTGCTTTTGTGGATCTTGGTAATATGAGAAAAAAATCAAATTAAGCATAACAATATATCTAGTTTAATCCAGTAAATAAAAAATGAAGAAACTAATCAAAGTTACTAAATGTAATCTAGAGTTGCAGTTTTTCAGACTACAAAAGTTGATTTGACAAACAAGAAAAAAAAAAGCAGACAACTAATAAATTGCAAAACTTACTTAACCAGGTACCTCATTGTGATTGACGATGTATGGTCCATATCGGCTTGGGAAGCGATACTGTCAAGACTGCCAGATAACAAGTGCAACAGTAGAATCATTGTGACCACTCGGATAGAGCATGTTGCCAGGGCCTGCCGCTCAGCTAGCCTTGAGGAAGAGTACTACATTCATCGAGTTAAGCCGCTCCAATTCGAAGATGCCAAGAAATTGTTCATCAATGCAGTATTTGGCCCTCAACAAGATTGCCCAGAACATCTGAAAGATATAATGCACAAGATATTAACAAGATGCAGTGGGCTACCGTTGGCTATTTTCTGCATTGTCAGGCTTTTGGCAGGCTACAGATCACCGGAGGGCGCCGTAGAGATGTGGACGAGAGTTTGCAACTCAACTGGCTCTCTGATGGAGAACAATCCCACACTGAACGGCATGAGACATATAATAACACTGAGCTACAACCACCTGCCTCATCATCTCAGGGCTTGCATGATGTATCTCAGTCTCTTCCCAGAGGATTATGTTGTTGACAAGCGTAGGTTGTTGTACAGATGGATTGCCGAAGGCTTAGTTTCCGAGCAACGAGGGCTGACACCCATGGAGGTTGCAGAATCTTACTTTGCCGAGCTGGTGAATAGGCACATGATTCAGCCATCCTGCACTGAAACCTTGGGCACGTTGATGGGATGTAGAGTACACGACATGATGTTGGATATTATTGTGTGCAAGGCCTTAGAGTCCAACTTTGTCAGCTTCGTAGGAGGCCAATGCCGAGATCCATCATATGGTAGTGTTCGTCGTCTGGCCATCCAGAGCGATGACCTAGGGTCTAGCATTGAGAACACAAACTTGAGGCACGTCAGGTCATTGACCACTTTTCGCCCCCAAGGTCATCGAAAGCTCCTAGATTGTCTTGCTGAATTCACTTTACTGAGGGTGCTCGACCTACAGGACTGTAAGGACTTGCAGAACAAACATATGAAGCATGTTTGCCAGCTATTTCTACTCAGATTCTTGTCCTTGAATGGAACAGATATCACAAAATTGCCTAGCCAGATGAATAAGCTGCAACATTTGCAGGCACTTTGGTTAATAAGCACGCTGCTTGTCAAGGTCCCAGAATCCTTGGTCGATCTAGAGAAACTTGAGCACCTTGGATTCAAAAACAAGCATGATCGGACAATACTCCTGAGGCTACCCCGCCACATTAGGAAAATGAAGGCGCTACAGTCATTATATAGGTTCGAATTCCGTGAGGACGATGCTCAGCTTGCCGAGGAGATCGGTGATCTTGTACAATTACGAGTTCTCAATGTAGTCCTCAACTGCTCCAATTGCTCCGAAGCAAAGGTTCTCACCGAGCTTGCCAAATCAATGGGAAGGTGCTCCCAGAACCTCTGTAAGTTGTTTCTTGAAGACATGCATTTCAACGCAAATAACATGAATTTTCTCCTCGAGCTCCCCTCGCCACCAAAGTTCCTCCGGGTACTCTACATCGGTGGTACCATCGATAGAACTCCAGACTGGGTGCAGTCACTTACTCAACTTGTTGAGATTGTGTTTTGGTGGACAAACCTTCCTAGTGACGAGATATATGGTGTCCTGTACAAGCTGCCTAACCTGTCAAAGATCATCTTGGGCAAGAGATGCTGCAGCGAAGACAAGCTGGTGGCTAGCGGCGCCTTCAAGTTCCCGCAGCTCAAAGAGTTGATCTTAGGTCCTAATGACGGTAAGCCACGAGTTTTCGGATTTGAGGAAGGAGCCATGCCAAAGCTCAAGACCCTAGAAATGAATTTCCATAAGGAGGATATGATTCTTGATGGTGTCCAACACCTTACGAGCCTCAAGGAGGTGCGGCTCCGTGGTTGGAAGCATAACAGTGCACTGCATAGGGCAGTGGACCAGCTGAAGGCTCATAGCATGAGTCGCCATAGGTCAGAACAGTTAAAAATTATAGTGACATACTTTTAGTGAACTGTTGCTGTCCAAATTGTATATGCAGAGTTCACGCCGTAGCGACTAGCGAGTCCTTGTCTTACGGCATGAACTGGATGTGACGTGCGGGATGATGCATCGCGGAGGTTCCTCGTGGGCAAGTATGGTAGCTTCCATAGACACGATAAGAGTCCGTTTGGATTCCATATAAGCAGTTAAGAGAAAATAAGAAAATGTTGTGCAGTTTTTGCAGCACAAAATTGCCCTGTGTTTGTTCTCTGTTCTTGAAACTCCAGTTTTCGTCCACGGTGTTCGGATGTGCTGATCAGTTGGGTACATTGTTACGTCCTCTAAGAATGAAATAAAACTGTTACAAAAATTATCATTGCGGTAGTCTTAACCCCTGAAAAATCTTCTACCTTGCACTTCATATAATAATTACATAAAACTTGAACTGGTCAAGCTGCTGTGATGAACAAATTTGTGAGTTGGTCTAGCTTTCTGCCGTACTCTCTCCATTTCAAAATATATGATACCGCTGACTTTTCGCATAACATTTGACCATTTGTCTTATTCAAAAAATTATATAAATATCATATATTTTGTCGTGACTTGTTTTATCATCAAATAATATATAATTTTAACTTGTACTTTACAAGTTTATACCAAATTTTTAAATAAGACAAATGGTCAAACGTTCAGAAGGCCGAACAGGATTGAAGAAGTCTTGAACCTCGCCGACTGGTTCGAATCAGAGTCAGAGAGGGAAATCTTGCCAAAATCATCAGCAAGAAAGTTGAAACCACTGAATCAAAATGTTTGCCCTGGAGGGAAGACGACTCCTAATGATTGCATCATGCTTGTCGACGAAATTCTCGACACACCTCTATCTAGCACGCCAACATGTTCTGTATCAGCAATAATAAAAGGGGTAGTGTACGATGGCTAAAAGTGGATAGATGCAGAGACAAAGGTTTTGCTCTCTTGATGAGAGGTAATACCTATCTCCTGTTTTGGAATTGTATCTGTCGGGTGTTGTATTGATCTGACAATCTTGGTGTGTGTTCTATGCCCTTGGAGGGCTCTTTGTCCCCTCAATATATGTTAAGGGGCAAGGTTATAAGTAGGAAACCCAACTAGACTCAGCCTAAGCCTCATTTAGTATTACAAAAGGTAACCTAATCGGAGTCTAGGGTCATGCCTTAACCAACAAGGAAACACTAGCAACTAGGTTGTACATAATTACAAATACCAATAGTCATGGCTCGCCTCCTAATAGCAGTGGATATATAGGATGTGTAGGTATCTGGTATATATGTCCATCAGATGATAAGATAATTATGTTCATCTTTGTCACTTCGTTGTTAATTCTATTTTCCCCTTGTAGGTCATTTGAAGTTATGAGAGGGCAACAAGATCTTAGATGAATTGATCCATTGCACCGATGCACAAATTGAAGAGGTGACGGAGGTGTTGACATGCCCGATCAAGCAATTGCCGATTGTTTACCTGGGGCTGCCGCTTTCTGTGCGTAAACCGACGAAAGCACAAATCCAACCGATGATGGATAGGCTTACCAAAAATCTGGTTGGCTGAAAGCCCAAGCTTTTATCTCCAGATGCCCGCTTAGCCCTGATCAAGCATGTGTTAATGGCGCTCCCACTCTACTTCATGTCCGTCTTGGAACTACCAACCTGGGCAATCAACGAAATCGAAAAGAAATGCCGGGGTTTTCTTTGGAAGGGTGACGAAGATGCTGCAGGCTCGTGCAGCTTGGTGGCTTGGGAGAAGCTTTGCCTCCCTATCAAGCGAGGGGGATTAGGGATCAGAAACCTACGCCTAAGGGGAATTGCGCTTTGCACTCGGTGGATTTGGCTGCCGTGCTGAGCCAGAGCGTCCCTGGACGCGCGTTGCACCTCTTTCTGACAGAAAGTCGCTGCATTGCTTTCCCGCTGGTAGCCAAGTATTGCTGGGGAACGGAGCCTCTACCTCGTTTTGGTGCGACAGTTGGTTGCCAGACGGAGGATCAGTGCAGTACAGATCTCCAATTCTTTTCTCTATTGTCAAGCTGAGTGGCATCATGGTGGCTGCCGCCCTCCGTGACAATTCCTGGATTGAAGATGTTAGGGGCGGCCTGTCTGTCCAAGCATTGGGGGAATACCTTGCGCTCTAGGACATGGTCGCCGGGATTTCTCTTGACCCAGGAAGTACTGACTTCTCGATGCGATCTGCCTACTCTATCATTTCGGTCGGCAGAACATCCTGCCCGCTCGGCAAGATTATTTGGAAATCTCGCACGCCAGCAAGATGCAAGTTCTTCACGTTCCTTTCTGTCCGCAATGCCTGTTTAACAGCCAATAACCTGCAGAGTCGAGGTTGGAAGCTTGCACCAATTTGTCACCTTTGCTCTGAGGATGGAGAGTCCTGCCAGCACTTCTTCTAGGCTTGCCCCTTCTCGCAGCAGGTTTGGGTGCAGGTCCAGGCTCGATTGAGCCTCTCCTGCTCGCCGCCGTCCTCGGATTTTGCCAGTTGGTGGCTTGCTGCCCAACAGTCTGTTGCGAAGATCGACTGCAAGACGTTCGACACCGGGGTCATCCTCGTTACATGGTTGATTTGGAAAGAGTGTAACGCACGGGTTTTCGAGGGAGCAGCCTCGTCGGTCACACAACTGTGTGCAATCATGTGTGATGAATGGGAAACATGGAAATCAGCAGGGCTAGTTAGCTCGTTGAGTGTTGCCGCAGTGCCAGCTTTAGGGAGATTATAGCCTTTGTATCTTGCTTAATGTTGTAAAGGTGTTGCTCTGATGCACTGCATTTGTGCCCCCTCCGGGGGGAGGGGGGTTGTACAGTTTTTCCCCTTTTTCCTTAATATACATCGGTCGGCATTCTTCGCCGTCCTGGCAAAAAAAAAAAAGAATTGATTCGATGCTGTTATCCAGGGGGGACATTTTGGATTCTTAAGAACTCGTGTTTGAAAGCAAGTTGATGGTGTTTCTAGACAAGGAGATAATGATGAGCTCATTTTTTTGTTCTTTGTTGCATCTTCATTCAAAGTGAACAAAGGAAAGCTCAAAACTCCTTTCTGAGAGCCCAATTCATCAGACCTTTCTTTTGTGGCATGGATTAATGCGTGCTGTTTTTTGCAGCATAGCTAATGTTAGATCTGTTTCATTTGGCCTGTAAGTTAGTTTGGTATTACTTCGGAGAAACTCTTCAATTCAGTTTCTGATATTGGTGGTTCATCAAAGAGGAAGTCTTTGATACAGTTCTTGTTGTGAATCAATCTGCCTGAAACCAATTGAAATGTTGGGGCAGGAAGTAAAGCTTCAGGAAGATACAGTTAATCTTAGTTTTGCTCCATAATACTTTATCGATCAATTGACTTGAAAACGAGAAGGGTAAAGGACAGCCAATCTTGTTTTGAACTCAGGTGTTAGAATTCAGACCACTGGATTTTAAATCTTGCAGGTGAGGTCAAATTTAGCATTTGTGGTGGCATTGTGCCATAAGTTGTATTTTTTTTAAAAAAAATCCTGCAAATGCCTGAATGCTGCAAAATTGCTCCTGAGCAAGCATTAACAACTCGGGCAATTGCTAGTCTCAGCGGTAAGATGTTTTGGAGAAATTTGCAAAATATACAATCCAGCTAAGCAATGAAACATCAGGCCACACAAAATTGAGGATAAACTTTAACTATACAAATACATAAGCTGATGAATTTCTGGTGAACTGTAACTATACAAACACATAAGTTGATGAATTATACAAAACATAAGTTGATAAATTTCTGGTGTTTCTTTTCCTCAAATGCGTTATATAGTATAGTAGACTAGTAGTACAGAAGAATAGCATATATGAAGCCCCTCCATACTTCAGATAAGAGGCCACCATATGATGATATGCTTGGATTGTTCAGGTCCCAGTAGCTCAACAATGATAACAATTGAGATCACCTTGTAGAGAATTAATTCGGCCCAGTAACTCAACAATTATAACAATTGCGATCACCTTGTAGAGATTTGAGCAGCAGCATACTTTGAGTTTGCAGCTGCCAACAGCGCAGCGCCGATCCCTGATCCGTCTTTCGTGTGCTCGATGGCGATACGATTCGATCGCTCGGGTCCCAGTAGCTCAGCCACAGCCTCCTTCATGTACCTCCTGTACTGAGGGTACTTCTCATATAGACCACCGTCCATCGCGACCACTGTTCTTCGTCCGAAAATGTGCCCTCTGGAGTCATTCTCCATCTTCTCAAGGATCCCTACGATTCCTGCCCCGGCCAACCGGCCTCCTCTCCTGATGATGCAGTCGGAGACTTCTACAGTGACTCTCCGTGCCAGCAGAGAAGCTTGGGACACCTGTGGATGTGAATTTTGGGGGTAAATTTTGCATGTTTGGATGTGCTAGCTAGATGCCCTTTGTGATGTGACTGAAACATGAGGAGTAAGTATCTTACGCCGATGACATCACTCAAGATGGACTCAACTTCTCCAAGATTGTCAGAGGTGTCTTGTTGCATAGCGCATAGATGTGGTGTCCTGTAATTTGGAGTTTTTCACCTTAGCATAATACTTTAATTTAATTGTGATGCTAGAGCATGAGAACTGACCTTAGAACAAATGGTTCAGCAAGTTTCTTGGGGAAGGAATGACCAAAGAGATCAGATACTTCAGCCATCTTGACCAGCACCCTACGGACAATTTCACCTAGATACATCCCGGAAATCGTCTTCTCGAATATCTGCGCATATTGCAATTTGCAAGCACACCAGGATATCAAGATTATGTTTTCAAGAGCAAGAAGAAATATATCCCTCAGAGTCAAGACTGGCTAAATAATCTTGCTTAAATTTTCTACTATGTTTCCTCCTTTCCCTGAGACTCTGTCGTTCTTCTATATAAGTAAACTATGTTTTACTTTTGTCAGTATATAGTATGCACAGTAGGACCTTCCTCTGCTTATCTTAGAAAATAAAAATTGAAAGCATTTTTTTTCACCTGTTCACCAGGATTTATGCTCTCATCATCCATTTCTCTGTCAAATTCAGTCAATGGAAGTCCATCTGAGAAAGCTCCCCACTCAGTGTTAATAATCTGCAGTACAGAGACTTCCATCAAGAAAAATTCCTTAACTTCGTAACACTTTCCATTTGCAATAACTTAATAGAGAATTTGTCTATGTTATGGCATACCGTGTTTCCTGTTTCAAGCTTAAGGTGTTGCAATTTTGGAATAGCTTCAGTTCGTTGAATGTAGCATGCATTGGTGCCAGTGCCCAAAATCACCGCGACCATTACGTCATCGTCCCAATAACGTGCTCCAGCTAAGGTTCCCACAGTATCATTTACCTGTTAAGTGGAATTCCAATAGTTTGGTTATAAATGTATTGTGAAGAGGATATCTTTCCACGAACATTTCTAGCCCATAACCATGGTATTCTCATAGGCTTTTTGCTTACCAAGGCAGAGACACGCATATCAAGGCCTTGCCTCTCCATTGCAGCATTCAGACAAGCAACAACATCTTTCCCAGCCTGTCCAAAACAAAGATTTAACTGACAAAGAAACTAACTTGCTAATTCATAAACCATCATCTGGAAAGTGAGTAAAAGTAGTGTTCTTTGTTCTAGAAGGGATTTTTCACTGTTGTAACTTGTAACTCTTGGCATCAGAAATTCTACAAATGAATCAGTTTTTTTTTCTCGTGAATTCTAGAACGGATGAGTTTCAGACCAATATGGAAAATGTCATATACAGGATATCCTACTAGGATAAAAACGGGACAAGATAAGAATTTGTAGTGCCATACATCATGAATCAAAGAATCATGGAAACTATACATAAAAAATGCATTATGAAATAAAGTCTTACAGTTCCAGAGACAGCAAAACCTTTTGTCCACTTGATCAGAATGCCAGAATCAATAGAAGTCTGATTCACCGGAAAGGAGAATGTGAAGCCTAACTCTCTCTTTCTCCCTTGTGGCAAATGAAACTTATCACCCTCCGTTGCTACAAATCTCGACAGGCCACTCGCGATGAAATCAAACAAATCCTGCTTTGACACAACAATGTTGTCAGGCATTCAGATATACATGTCCCTGCAGCTATTCTGATGAATGCATCACATTTCACAGACTACATAATAGAGTAAGCTCAGAAGAACACAGCTTGTGAAAAATTAACAAACCTCGGTTATACCATGCATGATTTCTCTTGGGATCGAGACTTGCTCAAACTCGGTATCTATAATGCGCTTATCTTTTCCTCCCAATTGTACCCTCAGCACTCTAAAGTTGGTGCCTCCAAGGTCCAGAGCATAAAACAGTCCTGTTTCATTCCTTCAGCACAACAATCATGAAACACAAAATTAACCAGATAAATAATTAACCAAGATTAATTTCCTGAGCTCAAGTTGCAAAGATATACTAGCTGATCAATCTCCACTCTAAACACAATACAAAAAAGAAAAAATAATCAGAAATTCACAAGCCCACTGTGTTGCAGTTCAGAAGTTCAGTTCACACAAAGATCCAGCTGAACAATTAAAATACCACATGATCCACTAACAAAGTAACAATAACTTTATGAACTGCTGATGCATTAACATTGCCTGCAGTAGCTGACGATGTATTAGCAACACCAGCTAGCTAATCTGTAATTAGAGCTAGTTAAGTGTATGTTTAACTGTTTAAGTAGGTTGGTTACCCAGTGGGGAGTGAGTAGACGTGGCTGGGGATCATCTTGAGCTCGCCGGCGCCGTCGTCGGCCAGCCCGGCGCGCATCCCGGAGGCCATGGCGTCCGCCACGCGCCGCAGCACGGGGAGCGGGGCGGCGCACCGCAGCCTCAGGTCGGCAAGGATGGGCGCGATCGCGGACGTCGGGGCCACCGCGGAGCAGCGGACGGCGGCAGCGCCGGAGCCGCCGCCGCGGCTCCTCCCCCGCCTCTGCTGCTGCACGACGGCGATCGCCGCCGGGATCGGCGACGCGATGGCGGCGGCGGCGGACATGCCGAGGAGAAGCTGAAGCTGAGCTGATCGTTGGTAGGGGGAGGAGTGATCGATGGATGTGTCAAGTGGTGGAATCGAATAAAGGTGGCAAGAAATGCTCCTCACTACACGTACTAAAAATAATTCTTACCAACTTTTTATTAACAAAAATCTTTAACTGGAAGTTATAAAAAGTCGAGATTCAACCAGATTCAACGACACTGTGACACACCAGTGTTTATAAAAAGTTTGTAAAAAAATTTAATACGCTCAGTGTTTCGTACTCCCTCTGTTTCAGATTATAAGGCGTTTTAACTTTGGTAAAAGTCAAATTGTTTTAAGTTTAACTAAGTTTATAGGAAAATATAGTAATATTTATAATACTAAATTAGTTTCATCAAATTAATAATTGAATATATATTCATAACAAATTTATTTTGGGTTAAAATTGTTACTACTTTTTTCTATAAACTTAGTTAAATTTAAAACAGTTTGACTTTGAGTTTGACCAAAGTCAAAACGACTTATAACCTGAAACGGATGGAGTAATATATATTCCAACTTCCATTCTCAAATAATTGGTATTAAATGGTTAGATTCGGAGAGGGGAACTTTATGTTTATGTGCCTTTTTAAATATTTATTATATTTTTTTGAAATTAAAACAAGTGATTAAAAGTGAAATATGAATAGTGGGTGTGGGTATATTCTCTCCCTCCAGCCACCAGACATCCTTGCAGGTACTAAATCAACGTGACGGTGTGCAATTTATATTTTCATGCTAATAATCCATACAGAATTACGGAGTATGAATCCGTACTGATAATTATGTTAATTTTCTCTGAAATAATATTTTGAGATTCCACGCACACTCTTAATCTCTTCTTCGAGGAACATAACTAATTAAATTACCTTGCAACCGGTTGAAACTTGAAATCAGGGGTTTCAATTTCTCTTGTAATTATCCAACATGCCAATTAAGCTTTCAGATCTCATCTCACATTGCGAGCTTGTGGATGCACGCACTGAAACGACCAACTGTAAAAGTTGTGGATACCACAATCCATGTGGACATGCATGTGATTCACACATGAGATGGACAGCTTAGCAGGGAAACCACTTGTCCATCTCCCTTACAAATCAAACCCATTTTTCCAGACATACAGCTGTCTAAATCATGGTTAGACTTGAAAAAAAATCATTAATATCAAGCCTTCAACAAACCACTTTTAGCAAAGTGAACTTAGCTTAACTAGCTTAACTAATTAGTTTTTTTTTAGTGAAACCAATCCATCCGATTTTAAATCCTAGACTTGCACTCGTGCTCATATTTACTGTTTATGCATGTGAATGTGAGTTTATAGGGGTGAGTATGCACCCGTCGTGAGCATCTGCATTTGCAAGGTACCGGGGACCATAGGAGTGGAGACCCCTCCCCGAGAGTAAAGATCTGACCAGAGGGTTTGCAGTGAGGTACGGACAAACTGTAATCAGAGAAGGTTCACCAGGCCCGACCACCTCGCGTAGAGAGGGACACATGAATTTATATAGGTTCAAGTCATCCAGAGGTGTAATACCCTACTCCTGTGTGTCGATGTTCGTTGTCACGTCTACGTGGACACATGAATTTATATTGAGAAGGCAATATGAACTGTGAGAACAATCAGGCCCAAAACCAACTCGTATGGGCCGAAACTGATGTGAGGAGAACACGTGTGTGCTCCTCTTTTATCTCCTTGGGCCTTTTTGCTGCTCTCGAGCACGAGTCGTGAATTTTTTTCAATTTTAATTTTTTTAAAAAAAATATTTAGAGAAATAATCTATCATCGTAAAAATTTACAAAAATAGACCCTGCCGCTCTAGTGGAGGGCGGCAAGCTGACATGGCAGACGACGGCTCGACGGCGCCGTGTGCGCATTTTGCGCTTTGGTCCTTGCCGCCCTTACAGAGAGCGGCAAGGGGCGAAATGCAATTTGCCCAGCTGGAAAGAAGCATTTGGCTGGTTTTTTTTGCATATAGGTCCCTTGCCTCCCTCCTAGAGGACGGCAAGAGACCTAGATGAAAAAAAAACCAAGTCAAATGCTTCTTTCCAGCTCTGTTGATAATAGCCCTTCTCGGGCTGGTTTTTTGCGTGGAGGCCCCTTGCCGCCCTGGCAGTGGGCGGCAAGGGTATTAATGTAAAAAATTCAACTTTTTCAATCGGCCGTCACCGACCGTCGAGCCGCTGTCAGGGACAAGTCCGGCGAGGTTGTTGCGATTCCAGATAAGAGATGATGCTGTCGTGCGCTTGCGCACCCATCTCGACATGGTGTGATTTACTAGAATGTTACACCCTCTGTGCCTCTGGGTGCTTAACCCAGCCACCGGGGTTACCGTCGCATTGCCCAAGAACCACTCAGATGAAATTGCTGCTGGGAGAGGGATGATGATGTACCATGGCAAAGTCGAGTCTCATGCTTTTGGGGAAATCTCTTCCACTGGAGTGTACAAGGCGCTCCGCATCATCAGATTTTACCAAAGGCAGCTGTGTGAGGTAATTGCCGTTGATGGCAACAACCAAGACATGTGGCGGAAAATGCAGGGGCCCCCAGCAACCATCTGTTGCAGTAAACAGATGAGATGCGTGGTCGTCGATGGGGTGGTGTATTTCATGATGGAATTTTACACGACTTATTTTGAAATAGTGGTGCTCCCTGTTGAACCAGGCAGCATAGCTTCATTCAACCTCGAGACAGAGAAATGGATGACAGTACAAGGTCCAGAAGTGGTGCACAGGCATGTTCAGGATGGTGACAGCACTTACTCGGAACTTAACTTGCAGTTATCGTTGGCTGATTCAGGTGGCTGCTTAGTTACAGTTCACAATATTCCTCCTATCCGCATGGACCTGTGGTTTTTGACAGATTCTGAGACTGGTATGTGGGTTAAAAAGTTCAGCTTGCCATCTCAGTTTATTATTGTAACTGTGCATCCTTTGCTGGTATTAGATGATGGCAGAGTCTATACTAGGAGTGTAAATAAGGAATTTAGAAGTGAGGATCCAGGAACTGGCACTTGTGCTACTGTGTTTGAGGCTAGCCGTTCAAGTTACAAACACTTTGGTATTTATACAGGAAATCTATTGAGTTCATAGAGTCGTCGCTACTGATTAGGTGAGTACCACCTTACTGTACTTGCTTCTGTTTGCTCAATCTTGCACATGCTGGGAAATTAGTGCAACTTTTGTATGATGTATGCATCAATCCAAAGTTACTTGCATGCTTTCAGAGTACATTATATTAGTATACTATACTGCTTTGTACTTTTAAATTTTCCATGGTCATGCTAATACCATGTTAAGTACGCTGTATGATACTAGTATGATATATGTTAAGAAGTTCAGTTAGTGAGTTATTGTATAGTCTTCTGTGTTTTTTTTAGAGCGTTGTTACGGTACAGCGGTCGGTACCGGTACCGCCAGGTACCAAAATCCTAGCCGTTGGATCTGGCCCGATCCAACGGCTGGTAGAGTTTGGTACCGGGCGGTACCAATTCTGTCTCTGTGCAGTACCACGCGGAGAACTGAGATGGAAGGGCAAAAACGTAACTTCGCGTGCAATAACCGGATCGGGAGGGATGGACGGGCAGCTCGAACCCTAGAAGGGCTGGGATTCTCGATCGATCGACGCCGCTGCCGCCTCCTGGATCGACGCCGCCGCCTCCGGGAAGGACGACATCGACGCCGCCGCTGGGAACGACGAGTTCGCTGCTGCCGTCGCCTGCTTCAACATCGCCACCGCTACCGCCACGGGGAAGGACGACATCGACGCCGCTGCCGCCGGAAAGGACGACATCGACGCCTCCGCCACCAGGAACGACGAGTTCGCTACCGCCGCGGCTTGCTTCAACGCCGCTGCCGCTGGGAAGGACGAGTTCGATGCCGCCGCAGCGGCCTGCTTCAACGCATGCCAGAATCCGCCGCTCGCCGCCACTTGATTGCTTCAAGGCATGGCCAGCGCCACTCTCTTCCGATCCTACCCATGCCGGAACGAACGGCAGATGCGTACTGGTACCGAGCGGTACAATTTGCTGGACCATAAAAAATCTCTTTTTTTTTAAAATGGTGATTTAGTACACATTTTGAGCATAAACTAGCAATATCCAGTGCATATTGTGTAGTACTACAGAGATTGTTCCTTTGCAAGGAATAAATAATGAAAATTAGATTTGGCCACGGACCAGCACTCTTTGTCATTGGGTTCACGCTGTCTGATTTGCAAAAACCTTGTTAATTATTTTTACAAGCAGAACGAGTAGTAGATTTCTGAATCGTCATACAAGAATGGCACCTCTAATGGATGTGTTAGATGCAAGATACAATACTTTGCTCTAGAATAGTTTTTTTTCTTATGATAAGAGTTAAGACTATCATGTATCTGGAGTTTATTGCACTATGATTGCAGTAATTTTGATGATTTTGTTCATCTTTGTAACTTTCTTGTTCACTCATTTCACCTTGTAGGTCACCTGAGGTTGATGGGGGATAACAGATTCCTGATGAATTGGATGCTCTTGGCCGTGACATTTTGGATTCTTAAGAAGAAATCATATTTGAAAAAAAAGTTGATGGCATTTCTGCCAGGGGGATAATGATGAGCTCTTTTTTTTTGCATGTCTCTGTTGAAAAAAAAGTTTTTAAATAATTTAAATGGTCAAACATGTTTAAAAAAGTCAACGGCGTCAAATATTTAGGGATAGAGTGAGTACGAGGGAAGCTTCGAATTCATCTATTGAAAACTGAGGCTTACGTACTGATTGAATGGTCGTTCACATTAGTCGGTATGACAGACAGTAGTCGTGTTCAACGGAAAATCACTCTCATGACGATTGGAATGAGTTGTTGAGACCCTTTTCTTGTATGACATGGATTTATGTGGGCCGCTTTTTGTAACGCAATCGCTCTATGAACATTTTGTTCTTGGCTCAGGCTTCCTTTCTATAGCAGATTCCCTGAACTCTTTTTAAGAAATGGCAGGAGGTTCTGCTTAATCAAATTAGCAGGCAAAGATGTTTTTGTACATGCCATTCTTACCAGGAGCTTGACTCTCTTCAAGCTCTGTCTAATGCTGTACTGGGTGATAATTGTTATTTAAAAAATCCTTCTATTTCGCCTCTTGCAGGTGGATACATTTACTGACCATCGAAATGTTAAGGTCTGTTTTGATTCAGTTTTCTGATGCATCAGAAGTGGACAACTGGTAAGATATTAAGATGTGATTAATTGCTCATACGAACAGAAAGTTCTATATACTGAAAGAAAGTTCCTGCAAAAAATCCGTGCTTGTAAGTTCACTATAAATGAAAGAAACCAAGTCGGTTAATTTCTTCTGTCAGAGGAATCCATCTACGAAAACGAAACTTACGTTGACGAGCATTAATTTCATCCTACTATTTGCATAAAGTCGTTGCATCAGGTAAAACTCGAGACAGGAGCACACGATCCCTCAAACTCGAGCTAACGGCATATGCTTAACTCCAGAATTGTTGATATGATTACAGAACATATCGCAATAACGCGATCGATCAGAGATTCAGAGACATGACGAAGACACAGCAAATATCAGCTACACCATTTTTTTTGTTACATTTTCGAGGGACATCAGCTACACCTTGATGACACCAAACCGAAACATCATCAGAGCAGTAGAGATCCTAAGTGCCCAGCTTTGTGGTAGCACCTCGTACAATGCCCTGCCAACCTACAAGACAGAAGCAGAAACCAAAATAAATATATGTCAAGCTGAACTCATATGGTCAAGATAAATAGTGCCAACCAGGGCCACAGGCATGTGACATGTCCCAGACCAAGAAAGCCCCATGCCCGTGTTTCCAGGATCAAGAACTCCCACCACAACATTAAAACATTTCCATTCATTACTTAAGTTCTATAGTTTATTCTCAAGTTAAAACCTTTCAGATGTATGACATCACAAGATAAAACAGTGGTCTTTTTAGTTCCCTAATAATGACATAAAGCATAATTGGCATTCCAAGTGTTTATCATACTGCCAACTGAACTTTTTTTCCCTAATAGCTATCTGGGAGACTAACCTTTTTCTCCCCTAGTATCATGCAGTTGAGAAAACAATCGACAAATTTAAGCTAGAGACTCAATTATCAGCATGGACTCATGCTACTAATCTCCATTTATGCAATTCGGTGAAGCGATTTGCAACTTTCAATATTTCTTGGCCACTAAAAACGAGATTAAATGATAGAACAATCCATTTTTATATAAACAGAGTATATGAAAATTTTGATATAACTTATGTTTTTTCTATTTTCATATGCAAAATTATTTTCCGTTTTAAAAATATTGTGATAAAGACTCAAAAGACCTTCCAATTATTTTTTTTATCAACACATTGATAAAATATATGTTTGTTTAAATTAATAACAAACCCTCCTTAGGCGACAACTTTAGCAAGAATTGCCACTTGCCAGCAGTACATAACTACAATACATCTCAATGAGCAGATGATTAAGTGTTTCATTAATCATTGGATTCTTCTCATTTCTGCTATAATTATCATTTATCAAAGTATATAGGCCCATTTGCTAATTGCAGTTGGAGAAACATCTTATTTTCTTGACCTATGGAAGTTTTTAACATCATAAAGAATGATGGATATTTCAATGGAACTGGTCATTTTTCTTGAAATAAATGACAAAATAAAGATGCTGAAACTAAACATGATAAAAACACACAAATATAACCAAATTACGGCATGAATATCAATAATGTGATGATGTGAAACCAAACTTTACCTTGTCACACACTCTGTGGACATAATAAACTTCCAGTGAACACACTTGCTCCAGTGTAGATACTAATCTGAATTATATCCGAGGAAGTGTCAGTTACTGGATCATAAATCTGCACAACCCCTTTTGATCCCATCTGCATCGAGAGTACTATCTTTCCCTCATCCGTCACAAGCAAAGGTTGCACTTTCAGATAATCTCCAATCCCATGAAAAACAGCATCAACATTAATCCTATGATCTTTGGACCATGTACCCTTTTCAGAATCAGTTAGAAACCATAGATCCACGGTATAAAATTGATCATTCCAGTGCGATGTACACAAAGTGCCTTTAAGTCCAGATAACATAAGCTGATTGGCAAGGTCATGATAGCTGAGCGTGCCATTGGATTCCTCGAGAATTCTGTTCAACGGCCCTTGGAGGGCCACACTCCACTTCTCCGTCGCAAAGTCAAAGGAAGGCATGCAGCCCCTCTCGAGGAAGGAGGGATCAGAGAAACAGTAATCCAAGATGAAGTAAGCAGCGCCTTTGAACACAACTCCATTGGTGCAGTTCCAACCAAGGTAGCCTGGCGGGTTCGCCGTCTCCCTCCACTCTCCATCCGTGTCGCCGATGGTGATAACCTCGGATAGGTGACGAGAGTTATCAATATTCAGTAAAATCCGGACTAATTTGCACTCCCCCGTGGAAGCTGTCTGACCAAATGCAAACCAGGCCGCAATCGTTGAGGGGTCTGCGCCGCCGCAGCGATGGCTAGGTAAAATTGAAATGGATCCAGTGGTAGGGTTGAGCACGCGGACGCTGTGGTCCTCGCCGGCGACGAGGACACGGTCGGCGGAGCTCCCGCTCACCACCCTGCCTTTCCCCACGCGGAGGATCTGCTTGACAAGGTTGCCGGAGAGGTCGACGAGGTCGACGCAGAGCCTGGGGAAGCCCTGCACGCCGACGGCGAGGAGCGGGGCAGGGTGGCGGGCGGCGTGCGCGGCGACGAAGTGCGGGTCGGTGGTGAAGGCGAGCCACGAGCGGCAGACGGCGCGGAGGCGGCAGATCGGCCCGGCAGGGAGGCGCAGCAGGACGTCGAGCAGCAGCTCCGGCGGCAGGACGCCGTCCACGGCTCCGAGCCCCCACCCCGCCGCCGCCGCCGCCGACTCCATCGCCGGAGGTAGGAGACCTCAAATCAAAAAAAAACGGATGAGATTTCAACCCATCTTCTCTGCTCAGGGGATTTACCTGAAGCGGAGCTAGCGCGGTGGCCGGTGGTGCGGCCGGAGTCCGGCACGTCGGCGGCGGCGGCTCTCGCCGGAGACTCGGATGAGTCGGGGACTCGGGATGTGTCTCTGCTTTTGCTGGGTCTTATCTCATTCTGAAAAATAACCGTGGGACCCTTAAAAAAATAAAAAATAACCGTAGGGCCCTTAAAAAAAGAAAAAAAATAACTGTGGGACCCCTAAAAGAATAAAATAACCATGGGACCCTTAAAAAAGGAGAAATAACCGTGGGACCCCTGAAAAAGAGAGGAAAACGTGGGCTGGGGCCGGATGTAGTCACAAGACCACAGTCGCAATTGCGTCGGTTTGATATATACACTCTGAATTTTCTTGGTTTAACGAAAGCCTCAGTTTGAACGATCAAGTTGAGAATTTGGTACGAAACAAAGGCAGCAGCTGCAAACCAAATTTTTGCAGTTGCAAAATGTTAAGACTCTGCTGAAAAATACAAAAGAAAAAGGGAGAAAACATTTCAGGATTTCAGGAATTCGCAACTAGAAATATCCACCCCATTGACCTTTGTTTGATCTGAAGGTGTATTGCGCACAATGCAAAGTGATGGGTTCAAGAATGTCAAAACATAAGCTGGTGTAACTGATTATGATCTGCCAGACAGCATCTTCAGTTAGCAATGGTGAAAGAAAAAAGGAACAAAATTCTGAACAGATACAGTGGTTCAAATTGTCTGGTGATTCAGAGGCCTACTGCATGTTACCTCTGCAGATAAATATGGTCCAAGAGACCAAGATCTTTGTGTGGCTGGAAGTCGATCTCAACACTAGCAACCAGAAATAGCCAATATCTCCCAGGACAGTTTGTGCTACATTTTTCTATGACTGAATAATCTTGTGCTACTCAAACATGCTTAAAAAAAATGAATTCAGACTAGCACTATACCATTGCAGATTTGCAGGTGCGTATATATAGTTGATGATACTACGTAAGTATTACATCTAGCTAGAATCAAAATGTAATGCATTTGCTGCACAGTGCCACTCCATGCAAGTTCAGAGGAATTTGTTTTTTAGAAGGATAGTTCAGAGGAATTAGGCAATCCAGGAGATCTGAATCCGGATGAGTTAACAGTTAACTCATGTACATACAAAAGGGAATACTACTGGATGATGCATCGGTTCAACGAGCAGACATTAATAGGGGGATTTTCTTAACTTGGTGCTAACCAGGTGAAAACCACATTCTTGATCTTAAAAGGGGTAACCACTTATTATTCCCAAACTGTTTCAATTCATTAAGCATAATGTCCTTTTTTATTGTCTTCTCAACTAAATGTTTCCCATGTTTCAGTCCTTCAAGTTCAGAATGGGTAAAATTCTTCAGTTCTTTCAAGAAAAGATTTCTTCAGAATTCAGGGGATGGCATTAGGCTGCGAATCCAGAGCATTTTGCAGTGTCAACGTCAGCAATAGCGCAACACTAAAAATCTCAGTTCGAAATTCGAAGCTATTCCAAATAACTTCCAAACTGAATAAAATTGCATCAAACTTTCAAACAGAAAAGGGGAAATTTCCACACGGCTGAGCCCTAGCCTGATCTCCCCGCGCGCGCCCGCGAAGCCGCCGCCTTTAAATAGCCTCCTATCCGTTGCTCACATCCCCATCCCCTCCTCGATTCGAATCGCCTCTCCTCTCTTCCCAACCAAACCCTCCTCCCAAACCCTAGAAATTCCTCTCCTCTCCTGCGGATCGATCCATGGCGGCGGCGGCTGGAGATGGGCTCCCGCCGGGGCTCAGGTTCGAGCCCAAGGACGACGAGCTCGTCGCCCGCTTCCTCCTCGCGCGCATCCAGGGTAAGCCCCTCCCTCTCCACGGCGTCATCCTCGACGCCGATCCCCTCTGCGCGCCGCCATGGAGGCTTCTTGCGGATCATGGCAGGGGCGATGACGCGTTCTTCTTCGCCGAGGCGCGGGCCAAGAACGGCAAGGGGAGCCGGCAGAAGCGCACGGTCGAGGGCGGAGGGTACTGGCAGGGGCAGAGGATGTGCGTCGATGGCGAGAGGCTGGTCGTCCCCGATGGTGGCGGCGGCGGCGGCGTGGAGATCGCGTGGCGCAAGTACGTCCTCAGCTACTTCGCGGATGGCGAGAAGGGGAGCTCGGGGTGGGTGATGCACGAGTACGCCATCACGTCGCCGGCTGACCTCGCCTCGTCGGCGATGCGGCTGTACCGCATCCGGTTCAGTGGCCACGGCAAGAAGCGCAAGAGGGAACCGGATTCTCAGAGCGCCCACGACGAACACGGTCGAGCGCGCTGCGCCCCACAGATCGCCATGCCCGAGACTGCTCTGCTCGAGGACAGCGCGCCGCCGCCACAGCCCGTCCATCCTCCTGCTGCGGTGGTGGACTGTGTCTGTGACGTCACCGATCAGGGCTCTTCCCTGGTGTTTCCTGATCAACCCGGGTCAATCTATGAGGATGAGTTGCAGAGCTTTGTGCCTGAGTTCGCCGCGCGCAATCTGTTCGTCTCTTTGCCAGAAGGAAGCCGTGACGTCGTGGCAGAGGCTGCTCTGATCGAGGACTTGGCGCTCTCGCCACAGCCTGTTCCTCCTCCTGCAGAGGTGGTGAACCAAGCTGATGACTCCGATGGCGCTGATCAGGGCTGCTCGAGTGTGTTTGCTGCTCTTCCCGACCTGATAGTCTTGCCACCGGAGGAAGCCTGTGGCAGTGGTGGTGCAGCACCGGCGCCGTCTTGGGCATCATCGCTGGACAACCAAAACGACGACGCACCAGCTTTCTTTGAGTTTCCAGAGAGCATGGATGACATGGTTGGCTGCTTCGACTTCGCCTCCATGGACAACCAGAGCTGCACTAGCGCCGTGTCAGAGATTGCTGTGCTCGAGGAGCCCTTTCTTCCTCCACCTACAATGGTGAACCATGACAATAACTCTGTCTCTGACGGCGCCGATCAGAGCTGCTTCGGCGTGGGGGACAACTCTACCCTGGTGTTTTCTGATCTAACCGGGTCAATCGATGAGGATGAGCTTCAGAGTTTTGTGCCTGAGTTCGTCTCTCTGCCACAAGGAAGCTGTGAAGCTGATGCTGAAGCTGACAGCGGTGGTGGCGTAGCACCGGCGCAGTTTGCTGAATTTGGAGGTCCAGAGAGCATGGATGACCCGTTGAACTTTCCAGCAGAAGCCAGTGGCGGCGGCGACCGTGCAGCACCGGCATCATCTTGGGTGTCATCGCAGGACAACCAAAATGATGAGGCGCCAATGTTCTTCGAGCTTCCAGAGAGCCTGGATGACATGGTTGGCTGCTTTGACTTTGCCGCCATGGATGGCCAGAGCTGCACTAGCGCCGTGTCAGAGACTGCTCTGATCGAGGAGCTCGTTCTTCCTCCTGCAGCAATGGTGAACCATCACGATGACTCTGTCTCTGACATCGCCGATCATGGCTGCTCCGGCGCCGTTCCTCCTCCTAATTCAGAAGTGGTGGACCTCCCCAATGACTCTGTCGGCGCCGATCAGAGCTGCTCCGGCATGGTGGACGATTCTCTTTCCGGGTACTATGAGGCTGAGCTGAAGGACGCCAGCGGTGGTGCAGGGTCCATGATGTCGTCGCCGGACAAGCAGAAGGAGCACTCCTCATCGGGTGTCATGGACGTGGAGGCCACTGGTTTTGGAGTTCCAGACAGCATGGATGGCCTGAGCTGCATCGACTTTGCCGAGACGATGGACGACCTGAGCTGCATCGACTTCACCATTGATGATGAGTTGTTTGATCTATGGAGCTAGAGATGGATTAGCAGTGACATTGTCCTTTGTAGAAAGAGATTCTTGTGTAGATAAAGAAGCATAGATGTGTAGGAGCTTAATCCTCTGATGGCTAGTATAGTGGTATTTATTTAGCTAAGCAGATATCATTAGCTGTTGATAGGTTGAGTTAAATGTGCTTAAGTAGTACTAATTGTACTCCTTATTCATGGCAATAAAATATTTACTTGATTCATTTGTTTATGCCAAAAGTGTACTTTGCATGAATTGGATTCAGTTCAGACTCTCAAGTCTGAATTTCAGAAAAGTTCAGAGTTGAGTTGGCTGTTTCTGTTTCATGGTCTGTACATGTCAAGTAATTGTCACAATGTCCTTGACTCCTTGTAGCACAACATTGTCCTGTTTGAATTGAATACAAGCAAGTCTAGCATGGATAAAACCTTTCAGAAGTTCACGGATTGGCAATAGGCTGCAAAGAGTATTTTTCAGTGTCAACATCAGCAATATGTATACCTTGAGAAACACTAAAATATTCTGCCCAAACTTTGAAACTAGGGACAGTCTAGATTTCAGGCAACTGAAATCTTTGAAAAAATCAGTTACCTTTTATATCCAAACTAAACATCAAGACATTATGTCTCATCAAACCTTCCAAGAAAAGACACTTCCCCTGGTGAAAAGAACAAAATTCTGGACAGATACAATAGGATGGCACAGAAGGAATTATCAAGGAAAAAAGATTCAGAACCCTACAAAACAAGTCAGAAACATTCAGGATTTACAGCCGATATACTACCTCTGGACAGAACTTCAAGTTGGGAATCTCAATACAGAACCGGATTCACTGACATGGAAATACACAGCATCTCAAGTCTACACTGTTGAAGCAGCCTCCAAAACACTTCTTTTTTTTTTAAAGCAAAAGGCAGGAGCTATGCCGTTTGTTATGTGTTAAGAAGAAGGAGAATGATTGTTTTTACAAGTACTGAGGTTACAGGAAAACATAGGCACGAATAGCATTGGTACTGTTACAGCATCAAAAGGCTCTAGTCTATAAATTGGAAAGCTAACTCTCTTTGGTTAATATCCTGGATTACCATGGCTGCCACCTGATTTTCGTTTAGGTGCGTATTCTGGAGCACTCTTCTTTTTCTTTCTCACAATTAGTGCCCAAGCGATCTTCCTTTGATCTTGCAGTTCATAGGAGCAGTTCAGGACAGTCTAGCCAGAGATGGCCTTCAAACCGCCATGAAGAAAGAAGGGATCTTCATCTCCTTTCATCTCTTTTCAGTTGTTGCAATCCACTATTTTGTAATCGCTCTTATGTACTCCTTTATTTTCTAATCTTCTAATATATTCGGCAAATCTTTTGCCGCTTTCACTTCAAAA